CCAGTTATGCCTATCTCTTAATGGGGTACATGGAACATTCCTAGTTCCAGTCCTATTCCAGGCCCCATCCACAACTCTTTCTCGATGATGTCATCAGTGCTGCCTCCCTTCCTCGTCCAGAATTGGAAACTTTTATTGAGTTTGCTTCCAATTTCCGCCCCTCTCTCACCTTCACCTGGTCCGTGTTTGACTCCTTCCTTCCCTTCCTCGACATCTCTGTTTCCATTTTTGGGGATGGACTGGCCAGCAATATCCACTGATTCACAGTTACCTGGACTATACATCCTCTCACCCTGCTTTCTGTAAAGACTCTATTCCTTTCTCCCAGTTCCTCTCTCTCCGTTGGCATTTGTTCCAATGATGCCAACTTCGACAAGGGAGACTCCGAAATGTCCACCTTCTTCCTTAACCGAGGATTCCCCAGCATTGTTGTTGACAGGGCTTTCAGCTGGATCCGACCCATCTCCTGCACTTCAGCCCTCACCCCTCTCTTCCTTCCTGCAAAAGTGATAGAGTCCCCCTTGTCCTTACCTACCAATCCTACCAGCATCTACACCCAGAGGATCATTAGCTGCCATTTCCACCACCTTCAGTGAGATGTCACCAGTTCTGAGGAAGGGGCACTCAACCCGAAACATTAACTGATTTCTCTTCACAGATGCTGCCAGACCTGCTGAGCTTTTCCAGCAACTTCTATTTTTCTGTCACTTCTTCAAAAACTGTAAAACACTTGGGGATGTGAGGGGCTACACTTTAAAGTTACGTAACTCTTTCGATGGGTTTAAATGACCTCCAAAATTGCATGACTTTTAAAAATATTATTCAACACACGAGAACTGCCCATGTGGAATTTATTGGCCTTAGCTACTTGACTTGAGTAGATGATGATGGATCATCTTGAACCATTCAGTCCTCAAGATGATGCTCGAAATTGTGGAACCTGAACGCAAATGCCAGGGTGTTCCTTCATTGTTGTGTATGATGATGTGTGACTTAGAAGGAAAGGGAAGTTTTAAAAACAGAATTATGGCCTCTTTCTTGCTGTAACCATTCTTTGGCATATGCTTAGGTTTATGCAACTGATACGTTTTAAACCACACTAGCTAATGTTTGGATTTGGTACTCTTTAATCCTCATCCAATTAAAAAACTGAACCAGAAATTAGATTATTTCACATGGGACAAAAAGTGTCCTTGCCTTTCTATTCTCATCAATCATGCTGCTTGTTCCCTATAAGATTGAGAACAGGGATAAAATGATATTGTAAAGGTGTTTTGGATATCTGTAGAGTCATGACAGTTGTTTGCTCTTTACAACACTGATAAAAGTATATTTTTCATATGGAATATCAGTTCTTTGCAACCAGGGTTAAGTATTATTAATCGACATTAATATATAATTTTAAATCTCCACACTTTAGTTCTGGGATTGTCACTGTTTTGACAAGGTTGGGATGATAAGGACATAAATTCTTTCTTCCATAAAAACTGTACATAGTGCTCCTGGTCAATTAAAGGACCCAATGTCTTCACAGATCTCAAAGCTTTTCATTTTCAGTCTTACTAAAAGTCCAATCTACCCGTAAATATTATAGCTAAACAAAAATTTCCCAACATCAGTACAAAATGTTCTGTTTTACCAGATTGATCCTGTTCCCCTTTCTCTGTCTCAGTTCTGGAACTAGTTTCTAAATGTAATCTCAGAAGATGACCTCTTTACAAGATAGAAGAGCTACATTTCTTTAGTCTTTCCTCACTGATAATTCAAACAACAAATACTGTGACGCTTAACTGAATCTGAATGGTATTTCAATAAACCTACATGTTCTTCAGGATCTTCATTTGGCTAAAAGATTCTACGATTTGGCTGCAGAAACTAGTACAGATGCATATATACCGGTCTTCTTTGCACTTTGCAAGCTTGGAGCCATAAATTTCATCCGTTCTATTCAACATACCAATGTAAGTATCATATAACATTTCTCTATGTGAACAAGTCCTGAGTTCCTTGTGATGGAAATAGGTTGGAGGTGGGGGAGAAGTGGTGTAGATAGCAAACTTAGTGTTACATTTGCTTATCCATAAAAGGTTTTTGAGTAACATTTTTAAGGTAGAAGATGACAGTTGGAGGAATTTTAGAGAAAATGATTCAGGTGGCTGAACCCTCAACCACCACTGACACTAAAACAACAACATAAAAGAAAGAGATAGTAGGAACTGCAGATGCTGGAGAATCTTCCTGCTCCTTTGCTGCTGCTTGGCCTGCTGTGTTCATCCAGCTCTACACCTTGTTATCTAACATAAAAGAAAGACTTACATTTATACGACAACGATCATCAGATGTCTCAAAGTGCTTTGCAGCCAATGGAGTACTTTTTACCTGCAATCTGTCGTGACATTGAAAACGCACCCAGAAAAGATTATATACACATATCCAAGTCTCTATCTTGCAGAATGCATTGATTTTGAGGTTTACTGGGATAGATTGTCTATGAAAAATTTAACAAGGATATATTTTCAGCAACTCTTAATAACAGTGCAGTACTTTTAGGAGCAAGAGTTAAATTGAGAGGATTCAGTTAAGAGGAAAAACTATTTGATTAGAAACATTGGATTAACAGAGATGTGTTGATAATATGACCTTTATCTTTACAGGTCAGTGAAGTATGGAAACACGCAAGTCTAGATCGATTGCTATGGCCTCATTGGGATCTTTTTCTGATAATGATTTTAACTTTGCTCCTGGCTGTACTGATGGCCTACAGGCATGTCTAGATAACATGCCAGAGAAGTTACATCTATCCTTCTGAGCTGGAGTCAGGGTTCCAAAGGACTGACTGCTTCACAAATTTAGATTTTCTGTGAATAACTTTCAAAAGAAATTGATGTAATCATTTAAGATACAAGTTTCAACATAGAGCGACATTAAACACAATCAAAATGTCACTGTCTACAGATTGTCATCTTTGTCATCAGTTGTTCTTTCTATTAATAGGCACAGAATGGCAGTTTACTTGTTGTAAATATGATGTACTAAAATTATTGTATATAAATCAACACAAAGTAATCTTTGCGCAATTTAGTTGTTAATACCACAACTAGTTTAAATGTTTCACAACTGCAGATATTAATGTTAACTTTCCTATTATTAAACTCATATTGTATTTTTAAGAGATTAAATTTAAAATCTTGGAGCGAGATTTTTCAAACAGACATGCAGAATTCTGTACTTGGTGAAAAAATTCTCACATAAGTTAGGTACGACAGACATAGCACTACTTGGCTGGTATCAGTATTACAGGTTAACTCCATTATTTTTATCTTGGAAGTTTTTTTTAAAACCCCTGATAACAAAATATACCTACAAGCCAATTGTGCATGTTGTTGGACCTGAGGATCGGGATAGGAGTTTAAGACAATCCGTCAACAAGAATGGGGGAAATTATCTCTTCTCTCCAGGTTGATCCTGGAGCATTGAGTGCTTTCAGGAGAGGCATTTATATTCTGATAAAAATGCCAATGTGGTCCAACCCGTTCCAGTAATGGATTGCTGAATTAGATATTCTCAAAATTTTGCTCCTTACGACTTGAGATTGCAAAGCTGGAATCCTTACCATGTGGGAAGGCCCAGTATGGGACATTAAAGAGAATTACTAGAAACAAGGGACCAGAAAGAGGGAGCATAGGGAGATACATAGTGACAAGTATTATGAACAGAATGCCAAACAGTAAGCAGCTGAAAATCTAAAAGTGGCTGTAAGTGACCTTCGCAATTGAACAGCAATGGTTCAAAATGCAGCTAGGCAACCAAATGCTTCCATTTTTTCAGTTTAAGTGGCAGTGATATGGAAATTGGTGTGACTCCAGCAGACGTCTGACCGTCATTGATTTTCAATAGTTAGACTGTTTTGGCAGGGGGCAACTCCAAAGTTTAGCATGAGTGCCAGGAAATCTATAGCATAAGTAATGCTTCAAGGCACATAAGTCACAATTTCCAGAAATATCACAACAAAATTCAAACTTACATCTATCCAATGACCATTTACATGCAATTCCAGCAGAAATTGCTGAATTGTGATGAACAGCCCAGCCTTGAGCAGATTTCCCCCTCCCAAACAAAAATTAATAAGGTGAAGCTACTCCTGGGATCACTATCACCACTCTTGCTTAATTCAAGCAATTTAAAGCAGAGATTGGTTTCCTCATTTGTACGACTCAGTTAATTACTCAAGCTGTCAGGAGAAGGATGGAGAGTCTAGATAGAAAGAAACTATTGGCATTCATTCTTCCACCAGTTTTAAAGAGATTGGTAATGGAACCAAAGGTGATGTGGTGTTAAATTTATAATCCAACAAATCATTAGGATCAGTAATGCACTGCGTGAGATTGTGGTGGAGGCAGATTCAATTGTAGTTTTCAAAAGGGAATTGGATAAGCAATTGCTGGGGGGAAAAAAAAACATAAAGGGTTACAGAATTAGGGCTTGAATGGAAGAAGCTAAATTGTTGGATTCAGCAAAATAAACTGTCTTTCTGTACTGCAACCATTCTATAAAATTAAACATTTACTTCTAATTCATTTAAAAATATTCAATTTCAGATCTTTTAAATTAAGCAAACTTTTGGTGGAGATGATCCTACTGCAACATAAAGTTATCTTTATCATTGTAATTACTGTAGTCCAAAAAGCCAGGTATGAACAGCAACATGTTGGTAGCTCAACAGTGCATCTCATGAAAAATGAGAGAATATAAATTCATATCTCTGATTCCAAAGTATTCTGGAATAACAACGCTTTAAGTCCCTCAAACCAGTGCACTCCAGGTCTCAATCATGTTGTCAGGGAAAGTGATGACTGAATAAGTTGAGTACAGGTCACACAGACTGCTTGATTGTACTCCTTAGCATCCTATAACATTGGCGAAGGGCAGGGAGTAATCATTTGCTCTCCATCCAGGATATGAAGCCTGACCCAGTAAGAAAGTAATAAAATTCCACTTTCGAAAGGACCATATACATTCTTTATTGTTTACATTTATGCAGACCAAATTTGGCATTCTGTTGTTACTTCAATATAAAAGGTTCTGTTTACAATTATTTAAAGCTCTATTTATCCTTCTTTGTCATCAGTTTGGATATATTCCCTAAATCACCAAATGATAATGTAGCGGAGCCTCTCCGTGCTGGCTTAGCCTGAAAGAAAACACAGGCAATGAATGTAGTATACAATACATTAAGTGACTCCGGAATGCATGAACTGACAAGGTTGCACAGACCAAACTCCCCCAATGCATCAATCAATTATACACAGAACACTTCCTCTTCAATACGACTGATTTTACAAAGAAGAATATTTACTTTAGGAAGACTGACAATTTAATTGTACAGTTTAAACAACTAAGTTTCCGAAACGCTTTCATCTATTATTTTATTATCTTCACATTTTGTATTAAGAAAGATTTGAAAATAACATTTCCCATCTTTGCATGACCACAACCAGCAACATTTGCTCCTTCGATCAAACTCCTCACTCCCAGTTAATCAAGCTGGCTATATTTATCAATAAAGAATAAAACCGCTGAGAAAGAGTTGGTTTTGATTGATAGCTCAAATACAGCTAAGCCTGTTTGGGTGCAACTAGATTAAGGACTTGACCATAAAGTGTTTTCCATACAAAATGAGAATCACTATTTAAAATCACATGGCTCATATAAGTGATTATATACTAAGGTCCAAATCTAAGGTAGTGTGATATAGTCAATGAACGAATTTATTTACCTTTTTTGAATGGTTAATGGTACAAAGGCTCATGTACAGTATGAAAATTGAACCATATATATGATTAAAACTAATTAAACTGGCAAATAGCATATAATGGACTGACTCATACCGAACTGGACAAGGATTAGATCAATGAACAAGTGGCAAGGAAGCATATGTTAACAGGGCAATTAGAAAATCATTACATTATTGGACAGAGACAGTATGGACATGAGAGGGAAGATGGAATCTGTTCAGGCTCGGTAAAGGTGAACCACTGAATTTTCAAAAAGAATTCAATTAATACACAAGAGGGTCCTGCGAAAAATTAGTGGTCTTGGGATTAGCCTAACATATCAGCATGATTGACCTCACTTACATACTGTGTACAGTTTTAGTTTCCTAAATTATATATCCATCCAAGAGACAGTGCAGCAATGATTCAACAGTCTTGGTCCTGGGTTGAAGGGAGTGTCTTAAAAGGAGAGATTGAGTAGACTGGGCCTATCTTCCTCCGGTTTAGAAGAATAGAGATAACTTCATTGAAGCATATAAAATTCCGAAGAAGTTTGTTTGAGTAAATGCTCAGAGGCTGTTGCCCCATAACTGGTCAGTCTTGAACTAGGGGTCATAGTTTCAAGATAAAGGGACAGCCATTTAAGACTGAGATGAGAAATTTCTTCACCTAGAAGAGCCTGAATCTTTGAAAGTTGTAGATGATAAGTTATTGAGGACTAAAGGAATTGGGAGATGGAATGATGCAAGAAAGTGGAGTTCAGCAGGAGTTCTGCCATGATCTCAGTGGATGATATAGCAGGCTTTGAGATCCAAGGAGCTGCTTCTATTTCTTCTTACAGTAGTTAACAAATATTAATGAAACTAGCAAACAGGATACAGAGAGAAAGGAAAACAGTGGGGATGATTTTAACTCATAAAACATTTGTAAGTCAACACTGTCAGGCACAGCTTCAGTTTTACGCACTGGCTGATTTTACTGTTAATTGAGTCAGTTTCATAACATGCAGATTTGGTTAAAATTGCTCCCAATGTTTATTTTTAAATACTTTGGGTCTGTTTGTTGATTTCACATCAAATTGGTCACTATTCCTCAAACTGTTCTTCTCATCTAAGAGGATGTGTGTGGCAATCTGCATGGAGGTTTCTCAGCAAAGAACCAGCTTTTCTCTACATAATGTTATATGACCATGGAAGGAACTGTAGATGCGCACTGGTTGCCCAACCACTGTAGTTTTTAGTTATTTAAGCAACAGGCTAATGCCACAGTCACAGAGCATTAAAGTACGCATTCTTCCCACACTTAGCAGCTTGGTTAGCAGCAGTTAAAACAATGCCACTAGGGTCAGATGTATTGAAGTGTTTAGTTGACTCTGTTGCATTTCCTCACTCACTAGTTTAAGAGTGGCAATACGGACAGACAAATGGTAAATGAAATTTAACGCGGATGAGTGTTTTGTGTTGCACTTTGATTAGACAACTGAGGAGAGGCGATATAATCCAGATGGATAAATTTTAACGAGTGATAGAATGTAGAAAGGCGATGGAGGTGTACATGCACAATACCTTGAATGTGGCAAGACAAGACTGGAAGGTTATTTAATGTAAAAGTAAATAAATTCCTAACTTAATAAACAGAAGTATTAGAGTACGATAATTATAGCAAGCAGATATAAATCACTGGCTAGGACCAGAAGGTTGCACTGCGTCCACTTCTGGTATCAAATTTTAGAAAATGTCCACACTTTAGAAATGTTATTTGTAATCTACATACCTGAGACTCATGGGGTTTCCAGCCAATCATGTACAGAATCTGAAACGTTGCTGGCACAGACCCATTGTCATTTCCATACATCTCTTTAGAGACAGACAAACAAGGCAGTGTGTTTCAACACGTGTAACAATCATGTTGAAGTGTTACTTTAGAACAGATAGCAACTAATTCAAACTATTGCTGGCAAGCTCAGGAGGACAGTTAGTAACCTTCAAGACTAACGGCAAGTTCACAACTCATGCTGTTATTAGTGTGGAGCATGGCCAGCAAGTTAAAGGAGAGGGACAAGCCATGAGGTCAGAGACAACCCACTTTGCTGGCTAGTTTACACTGCACAAAGGCAGCCCACTCTCTACCAGCCTGTTACTAATCTAATTTTATCACTACACGTCATTGCATGAGGGTGCAAATTGCAGAATATTTCAATAAGAAAAATTCACAAGTTGGATCAAATACATCACCTAATATTCAGATATGCACAAAAATATTTTAAGAAAACACACAGAGAAAACCTTTGTACTTAAAAAGTATATGGGAAAGAATATTTTGTGTAAATTACTCCGAATTAACCTGGTTTGAAAAAATAAAACATATTTTGAGAACTAAAGTTTAGCTCTATTGTCATTATTCAATGGAGGCTTGTCACTTAAGTCTCTCAGCACAGAACAGATATTAATCTAATTAAAAAGCACTTCCATGAAAAGCAACATAGCCTTTCTTATCCTGCATACGGATGAGAACCCATGCGAGTCAGCAATGTACAATTTCAGCCAAGTAACAAGTACTGTGTTATTTCAGACAAGCAAAATGTACTGGAACTTATTTCATTAATTTTTTTAAAAAATTGCGAAGTTTCTCTTGATTGGACAAAGGGTCCTTTTAATTGAATGACTAATATTGAGCTAAAACTTTAAACTGAAGCTATTTTCACAATTTGATTTTGTTACTGACGATTTGTGGAACCATTACATAAATTTAAATGAACAATCTATTTTTCAATTCACACCAGAGGCAATTTGAACTCTAAACTCACAGTGTCTCACCTTTGTAAATTGCTGCAGCTGCCAGCATCGTGTCCCTGTGCAACAAAGGTTTCCTGGACCAAGCACAATTGCTCTCTCCCATACCTTAAAATTTAAAGTGAATACAAAATTGCTGAGAGACTTTAAGAAGAAAATTTATGTCAGGTTTCTGGCATAGGTACGGTGGGCCAAAATGGCCTACATGATTGTATACGGTGCAGGTGTTTTGGCACATCACAATTGAAATGGTTCTTAATAGTTCATGCAGAGAAATAAACAGAAAGGTGTTTCACAGATTTTTTTGCAACTTCTGTTGAATCTACTAATATTTGGAATTATATTTGTTGAGAACATTTTGGAAATTATATTTGAAATGACCGAAGTCCTCAATTACAGTGCATCCTGTCACTATACAAGTATGCATTTAAGTTGTAACAGTAAGACACTATTCTACACCCACCTTGCAAGTCCTCCATTATTTCAAAGATTCCCGGATAGTTGACCAGGATCTCATCAATGTCCTATATGAAATGAACAATATGCAGTTTAATATAAAACATCTCTTTTTGATGCGATATCTAACACTTAAGGAACTAAACCAATCAACTCATATTCCTCCATTTTCAGTTTCCTAATTTGAAAAGGCCAAACAATAATTATCTAGTGTCCGATTAATCCGTAAGGGCAGGAGAGAGGTTGGTATTTGACCTCGGTTTAAGCCAAAAGCCTACTCCACAATTTTCTGTCGAAGAGGAACTCAAACTCACTTACTGCCAGCAGAAACAATGAAAATGATTTAGTTTAGTTTACTTATGGATACACTGAATGTCATCTTTGCAAGTGAGGGATTAATGATTCATTTACAAAGTGGATTAAGACATGGCGTGAACCAGATGGTTAACAAAGTGTTCTTCATCTCAACAAGGAGACCAGCTCCTTCACTAACAGGGATGAGGAGAGTTTAACAAGGACTAGCCATTTTGCATGTTACAGTTGAAAGAAATGACACTGTCAGAAGCCCAGGGCCACTTCTCCTCTCTGTTTCTTGGCCAGTGAAGTGAGGTGGCTTAGACAGACTACATGATGGAAAAGTAGGAAATCAATTTTAGCTGCAAAGCAGCTAAAAAGTATTGTATGAATCGCTAGTGTCTCAATTCCCTTCTTTGTTACACAATTTTTCTTAATTAGCAGAGATTTAATTTGACTTACCACAGTTAGCATGGTAAATCCTGCTTGCTCCAACAGATTTCCTAAGTCTGTAACAGCAGTAAATGGTGATATGTGGGGTGCAAATCCTCCTTCACGCTCCAGTTCTGCCAGTTGTAGAGAGCAACGAAGTTCATATAGGGTCTCCCCTCCCATCATGGCACCAATAAACACTCCATCTGGTTTCAAGGAAGAGTGAATCTGCAAAGTGCCGGATAATCTACGTAAGCAGCGTAGTCACCATAACTGATAAAACTAAAAGCCAGCAAATATGAATGTCGGTGAGGGGTTCGAACAGATACATGCAGCTGAAAATTCTGTAATTTTGGGCTACGAGATGATCAGAAATGAAAACAAACTTGTTCAACATCTTTACTGCTGAATCTGTTAAGCGTATTTAATCATTCAGAACCAGATAATCCTCATTTAACACTGCCCTGTTTACTGTTACTTTGCTTGGGTGTTACTTTATTTTCAGGATCTGTTTCTTTGAGTTATGTTGGTATTTCCAGTTTTGTACTTCACTGTATCATCCCAAATCACAGTCATCTCACTCAGAAGATTGGAATGTGGATGTCAATGGTGACAATTGACCCCATTGCACGGACAACGAAATTAATAATTGTAATTGCTGAATCACAGGCACAACCAGAAATTGTCATAAAGAAAATATTCTCTATAACAATGCAAATGTACTTATAAAGGTCAACTCTGAATTCAAATATAACTTTTATATAAAGCTTCTGGCACTGAAAATACCCCAGATATATCATTAAAAAAAACACAATTCTGAATTGCAGATATTTTTTCTTTTAGTTATTTCTGCTGCATTTGTCATGCTTAGGAGAAACATTACCACTGATTCTGAAAATTAGTTGTTTTCCAAATATTCTTTAACCTATAAAGAATATTATTTACCAGTGTGTTCTTTCATTGATGTGTGGGATGTAGGTGTCAGTGGCTGAGTCAGCATTTATTGGCCTAATTTGAGGTCATGTTGCAGCTGTACATGACATTAGTTAGGCCACTATTGGAACAGTGCGTTCACTTCTGGTCGCCCTGCTACAGGAAGGATGTTGTGAGACATGAAAGGGTTCAGAAAAGATTTACAAGGATGTTGCCAGGGTTGGAGGGTTTGAGCTATAGGGTGAGGCCGATTAGGCTGGGGCTTTTATTTCCTGGAGCATTGGAGGCCAAGGGGTGACCTTATAGAGGTTTATAAAATCACGAGGGGCATGAATAGGGTTAATAGCCAAGTCTTTTTCCCAGGTTTGGGGGGAGGTTGGAGTCCAAAACTAGAGGGCATAGGTTTAAGGTAAGAGGGGAAAGATTTAAAAGGGACCTGAGGGGCAAGTTTTTCACACAGAGGGTGGTGCATGTGTGGAATAAGCTGCCAGAGGAAGTGGTGGAGGCTGGTACAATTACAAGATTTAAAAGGCATCTGGATGGGTATATGAATAGGAAGGGTTTAGTGAATATGGGCCAAATGCTGGCAAATGGGGCTAGATTAATTTAGGATATCTGGTCGGGGTGGTTGAAGGATATGTTTCCATTCTGTACAGCTCTGACTCTACAACTGTCCTGAAGAAGGTAGTGGCATGCTGCCTTCTTGAACTGCTACAGTCCTTGAGGTTAGGGACACACCCAGTGTTGTCTGGAAGAGAGTTTCAGGATTTTGAAGTGTACCAATCAATAGACTGCATTGTCCTGTAATCTCCCAAGCTCTGCACATTAAGACTACATTCATCCAGGAAAGTAGACAGTATACCATAATAGCCCTGACCTGTGACTTACAGACCACGGACATGCTTTGTGTGACAGGAAGCGAGTTACTTGCCACAAAATTCCTCGTCTCTGGCCTGCTCTTGAACACACGTAACTATATAACTGGTCCAGTCAGTTTCTGGTCAATGCTAACCCCCAGGATACTGAAAGTGGGGGATTCAGCAATGATAATCCCACTGAAAATAACGGTGCAATGGTTAGATTCTGTCTTGTTGAAGATGGTCATTATCAGACACATATGTTACTTGCCTCTTATCTACCAAGAGTGGATATTGACCAAGTCTTGCTGCATATGGAGATAGACTGCATATGTGAGAAATGGTGCACCATCAGCAAATGCCCCCACTTCTGACCTTATGATGGAGGGAGGGTCATCAATGCAACAGCTGAAGATGGCTGTGCTGAGGATATCCCCTGAGGAACTCCTCCAGGGGTGTCCTGGAGCTGAGAATATTGATTTCCAACCATCACAGTCACCTTCCTTTGTGGAACATTTTCACCTAGATTTCTGTTGACTCCAATTTTGCTAGGGCTGTTTGATGCCATATTCAATTAAATGCTCCCTTGAAATCAAGGGCAGTCACTCTCACTTCACTCTTAGAATTTAACTCTTTTGTCCATTTTTGAACCAATGAGGTCAAAAGCTGAGTGCCCCTGGCAGACAGAAATCAAGTGACAGTGAGCAAGTTATTCCTTTGTCAGTGTCACTTGATAGGACTGTTGATCCCCATACACCCCCAGCCCCCCTCACCCCATACCCATTTTCAACAGTAGATTGGGTGGTAATAGGCCAGGATGGATTTGTCCTGTTTTTTATGCTCAGGACATATCTGGGTAATTTTTAGATAGACGCCAGTGTTGTAGCTATTAGAACAACTGACCAAGGGGCTTGGTCTCAGTTCTGCAGAACAAGTCTTCAGTACTATCACTGGAGTGTTGTCAGGGCCAGTAGCTTTTTCAGATTCATTCTTTCAGCTGTTTTTTAATAGCATGTGGAATGAATTGAATTTTCGAAGACTGGCTTCTGTGATGCTGGAGACCTTGGGAGGAGGCTGGGATGGATCATCCACTCAGCTGAAGTTGGATACAAAGACTTCATTTCTATCTTTTGCATTGATGTGCTGGGCTCCCTAATCATTAAAACTGGGGATATTTGTGGAGCCTTCTCCTCCTTTAGTGAGTTATCTCATTGTCCACTGCCATTCACGACCTGATTTGACAGTATTCAGAGTTGACAGCATCATTAAGTATATTTAAGGCTGAGATAGACAGACTTTTATAAGTGAATTGAGGGTTATGGTGATAAAGTGGGAAAGTGGAGTTGAGGTTTATCATATCAGTCATGACCTCATTGAATGGCAGAGCAGACATGATGGGTTGACTGGCCTACTTCTGCTCCTCCATCTTATGATATAAGCAAGTATAGTCAGGTTTCTTTCAAACTGAATCCAAGAAGCTTTTTAACTAAATACAAAAGTTTACTCATCCTAGACTCTAGTAAGCCAATGGCTTAACGTTTTCTCTCTCCAATAATAAGTTGCCAATGAATAAATAAACTTACATTACCACCCCAGGAGGCAAGACTGGTTTAAAAATCATGATTCTGGAAAGAATGACTGAGTTAATCCGTAAACCCCTTCTCAAAAATTGGTCAACACCTATTACCACTCGTTTAAAATTCAAACTCTAAGTATATTTAATCACACACTTCTCACCATAATTTATGAATGTAATTATTCAATTATTTGCGATTTTTAATGTATAAACAGTGTATCTGCAGTGAAAAGGTGGGAAAGTGGAGATGAGGATTATCAGATCACCCATAATCTCACTGAATGGCACAGCAGACTCGATAGGTTGAATGGCCAACTCTGCTCCATTATGGTCTTAGAATTTTTGAATGGGCAGTAAAGTTAAACTAAACTAAATAGGTTGACTTACAGTCCCTCAACATTCCCAATTTACAAACCTCATCCTTTTTAAATTTCTTCATGCACTCACTCTTTTCTTCCTCTAACTTCTTCCAGCTCTAAACCCACTTCCCCATGAGAATGCATCCCTTGTACTATGGGTTCTGTTCCTCCCTCCCTTCCTTTGATAGCATCATTCCTCCCATGCACCTCTATGCGAAATCTAGACTTTGTCCAAGCCTTTTTTCACATCTCAAGTGTGAATCTTTGAATCAGTGTGAACTTTTGACAGATTTCATTTCTATGAACAACTTGTTAAACACACTATTGCTTTAATATCCCACCCTATTAGACTTGTAACTTCTCTTTCTTATCACAAATGTGAAACCTCATGCAAACCATAATGAAATGCACGGCTGACTGCATTTTCTTTATCAAAATAGCCTGAATCCTAAAATGATACCATTTCAGGAAAGTAAAATCTGTAAGACCACTTTCACAGATGTGGTCTTCCTGTTGACAGCTACAAATTTAGAATTGATTGTCCATATATCCATTCCCTTTTGGCAGAAGTGAAAGCTCTACGCCAGGAAAACAATATTAGACGTTAAGTGGACTGCATGTTTATTCAAATCAAACAAAGCTAAGTTATTTTGTTCACAGATGCAACAAATACAACACATTGGACTGTAACATCTTTATATGGCTTGTCACAATAGAAACAAAGCCAAAACATTACTTCAGTCACTTTCTACACTTTGCTGCTGCACGTTGAATTGATGGAACAAATTTATAAATTGTTTATTTTCAAGGTTATAACACAAATGACATAATGAAGGCTGCTTATATAGAAATGAATGTGCTTATTCCAAAACAAAATCGATGTATCAGAAACATGGAAACGAGTCTCCAGTTACAAAATCATGTTATTAAAATTATCTATTAAACACGGTTTTCAAAACCAACATTAGTTGAGTAACAGTTTAAGTCAATTCGTTTTGGACCATTTCATATGGAGAAGGCACTCTCACCTGTTTGAATGCACGAGGGAGGTCATTAACCCAATGCAAACTGGAAATAAGAGAAACAGATTTTAATAAACGTTGCTTTCAGTCTTTTCAATTACAAGTAATCTGGGATTGAATTTAGTTTTCAATTGTATATTAATTTAAATCAAATGATTTTGTAAAATTCAAATCTATATCCTTTGCAAACCACATCTCCATCTTAGAAGAATGAGAGGTGATCTTATTGAAATATATAAAGGGGCTTGGCAGGGTAATTGCTGAGAGGTTGTTTTCCCTCAAGGGAGAGTCTAGGACCAGTGGGCATTGTCTCAGAATAAAGAGGCGCCAATTTAAAATGGAGAAGAAGACGAGTTTCTTTCCTCAGAGGGGTTGAAAGTCTTTGGAACCCCATGCCATAGAGAGCTGTGGGGATACAGTCTTTATGTATGTTTAAGGCTGAGATAGATCCTCGATCAGTCAGGGAATCAAGGATTATGGCGAAAGGACAGGAAAGTGGACTTGAGGAATGTCAGATCAGCCATGATCCGAGTGAATGGCAGAACAGGCTTGAGGGGCTAAATGGTCTAATCCTTTCCTATTTCTTATGGTCTTGGAAGACACTTGATTGCATTGTATTACATGAACAAGGTTTCAACTACATCCATTGGAACCATTCTGTTGGTTTCATTCAGTTCTGCCAAGATTGCTCATAATCACACTTCATGTACCTTAAACTGCTAAGAATTAGGTCAAATGTATTTTCCTTGAAGGGAAGAAACTCTTCATCTGCTAAGACACGATAGGTGGGAATTTCAGTCTCAATTGGGTGTTTCTGTAAAGCAATATTTAAAACACCAAAAGTTAGAAAATTAGAACTGTCCAACTGGTGCAGTTAGTAACAAGGGAGCATACCTGCACCACACTATTAACTTAATGTTATTTCAATTATACAGTTATTTCCTTGAGGCTTTTCACTGCCTGATTGATGTTCTGTAACTACAAAGCTGAAAACAAGACCTTTTTTATTTAAGAACTCCCGTCTCACTGAGGCGGATTCAGGTCAATACAAATCCAATAAGCTGCTTTGAAAACTGTGCTCACGGTTTGACAGCAGGCCAAGCAGCATCAGAGGAGCAGGAAAGCTGACGTTTCGGGTCTAGACCCTTCTTCAGAAAGCTTCTGAAGAAGGGTCTAGACCCGAAACGTCATCTTTCCTGCTCCTCTGATACTGCTTGGCCTGCTGTGTTCATCCAGCTCTACACCTTGTTATCTCAGATTCTCCAGCATCGGCAGTTCCCACTATCTCATGTTTTGACAGCTGTGACAAATTCCACCACAGCAGCTGAGACAACCCACAACACTCTAAAACAATTAGTAACTAACTGACATCCTAGTGGTATTGTCACTGGACTAGTAATCCGGAGACCCTGGTAATGTTCTGCAATCCGAGTTCAAATCCTACCATTACAGATGGTGGTGTTTGAACAATAAATATCTGGAATTAAGAATCTAATGATTATTGTTGATTAAGAATTATTGTTGACTAATAATCTAAATTGTTGTTGACTATTGGAATAATTCACTTGTTCACTAATGTCTTTGAGGAAGGTTATGTGCCATCCTCATCTGGTCTGGCCTACATGTGACTCCACAGCCATCCAATTAGACATGAACAATAATTGTTGCCCTAGCCGTGGATAAATTAAAAAAAAACAAGGTTTCTAGCTTTGTACCTTCTTCATTTCTTCCAGCTAATAATTCTTTGGCTCAGTATTCCAGATGCTTGGTCATTGCCTCCAACAGTACAGCGGTGGGCAGCAGGTCTGTGAGCTGTGACCCGAGGCAGGGATTGTAACAACATTTTTATCCAATTTATCATGGAAAGAGGAAGATAATGACTTTGTTCAAGAATTGAGGGAAAAGATTCCCTTCAATTAAGAGGTCATTTGTTTATACTGACAATCACTGCGCCAAAAGGACTGCAGCAATTTAAGAAGCTCAGCTCACCAGTACCCTTTCAAGGACAGTAAGAAATGGACAATAAATACTAGTCCTAGCCAGTGAAGATCATTCTTTCTGAATAAATCACAACTGAAGGTATAGTCATCACACATTTCACTAAATATAGCATAACAAAATCCATTGGTAAACTTACCAAAACATTCTCTGCAATATCAACTTGAAAGAGTGTTTGAACTGTTTCCTGAAATGAAACAAGTCAAAAAAAAATCACAAATTGGCTCTTCTCTTACACAGAATTACTCCAATCTATTCATCGTTCTGAATACTCAGTTCTGTTAGGGGTATCTGAATTTCTTTCAGCTAAAAGGGTTTTATGCAATAAAAGGTGAAAATATATTACATCTAAACACAAATTTAAATTCTTACTGTAATAAATACTTCAGTTTTAAAAGAATGAGTCATAGAGTCATATAGCACAGACACAAATCCTTCGATCCAATTCATCCATGCCGACCAGATGCCCTAAATAAATGTAGTCCAATTTGCCAGCAATTGGTCCATATCCCTGTACGCCCTTCCTATTCATGTACCCATCTTGATTCCTTTTAAATGTTGTAATTGTACCAGCCTCCACCAGCAGCTCATTCCATTCCTGCACGAACCTCTGCATGGAAAGGGGTCTTAGGGGCAAATTTTTATGTCATTCCCCTCTCACCTTAAACCTATGCCCTCTAGTTTTGGACTTCCCTATCCTGGGGAAAAGATCTTGGTTATTCACCCTTTCCATGCCATTCATGATTTTATAAACCTCCATAAATTCACCCCTTCAGCCCACGATGCTTCAGGAAAAATATCCCCAGCCTAATTAGCCTCTCCTTACAGCTCAAACCCTCCAACCCTAGCAACATCCTTACAAATCTTTGTTAAACCCTTTCCAGTTTCACAACATCGTTCCTAAAGCAGGGAGACCAAAACTGAACGCATAGGTCTAAAAATCGACTAACCAATGTTCAAGACATTTGGTTCATTTGTGAACATATAAATAACTGCTTGAGTAAAATTAGACACACTGACTAAACCAGAATTTAATGGTAGTGTTGCATCTCAGGACAGTTCATATAAAGACATAATACGTAGAGAATTATGGATGTCTGATATCACAAAAAATTGTGCAGAGTTACTGGTGTATGAACCATAAACAGTGTGGTATCACATGGAATTTAAATTTAACTCAGAAACAAACGTAAACTGTACCATACCAACCAGGAAGCACGTACCATTTTGGAATGCTGCAATAGCCCAACCGTTTATGTTTTCCAGCCTGTCTTCAAGATCTGCCGATTTTAAATTATTTTTGAATATATGAATAACAGTAAAAACTTTTATATGGTATGAGATTTAAATAGGAGCTACCAGAGTGCAACGGATAGCATTCTGACTCTGAGCCAGATTCTCCGGGTCCAAGTCCAATGGCCAAGGAAAGTGTGATCATTATGCAGCCGAGCAGATCGAGTTTCAACTTGCAAATCCTTCCAACACACTCAGTGGCAGGTAGGAAGAGTGGGCGAGACTCGGGCCCCCCCACCCCAACTAGTCACGTGATGGAAAGAACACCAGAGCCTCTACCAATGTCATTCACAGCTCCAGAATACAACCCATGTGTAAAAATGTATCTTGCCACAGCAACTCAGAGTTCCTTGATGGGGAGGCTGGTTCAATGGATGGCAAGAATGCATCAGATTGGTAGATGACATCACAGGGTTTGATCCCTGATCTGACTGGGTAGGTTTGGGACCTGCATCTTTGCATGTCCTGTGGCAGGGGTGACAGCACTCCAGATCAGACCTTCCTTCGGGGGCAGAGAATTAAAGATGATACTATTTAAAACCAGACCTGTAAACGAGAATGAGCATTTATTTATTTCATTCATTCGGATTTAAAATATTTGCCACCATCTGAGCTAATGTTACCTTGTTTAGATTTTCTGCTATATAGCCTTTTCCGCACCCAATGTCCAATGCAAGGGGAAAGGTTCTAAAGCAAAACAAAGTGAAATCACACACCGATAAAATTTCCAGCATGCTTCTGCAGAACATTGTGCTAGCATTTAAACTGGAAGAGAAAGAATGATTAAAAGGTTGAATACACTGCAGATATAGGAAATGCTAAACTAGTCATTACAGAAGAGATAACACAATGGTCTCAAACTTACCTTACAATATCAAAAACACGGTCCACAACTCTGCTTCCAACCTGCACAATTGCAAAATTATTGTGATCTAGAGGACATAAAAAGATATCTCATGACTGCAACTTAAATATAAAGAAACAGTTTGCTTTGTAATCGATCAACCATGATCTGACTGAATGGCAGAACAAGGCTTGAGAGCCAAATGGCCTGTTCCTCTCTTATGGGCTTTGTCCAGTGAATCCCACCCCCACTTCACTCCTTCCAGGTTTTTGTGAAATGGGTAGATGCAAATCCGTCCATCTCCACCGGACGTGAACAGGGCTGAACCTCTGATGATGTCTCAAAATTAGAAACTTCGAGATCAGATATTTCCCAACAGAATATTTTATATCTGCTCCCAGAGTGCCGGAAGTGGGAGTTAAGGCTAGATCTGGTGGAACAAACTCAATGGGTCAAGTAGCCCTACTCCTGCCCCTACTCCTTACAGAATGTTACTTTCAGTTATGATCAGTATGGCATCAAAACAATAGTCATATATTTTAAACAGAACAACCCAAGGGTATCAGAGAGTAAAGCAGCTCGTATTTACATAATGCCTTTAACAGAATGAAGTATCACATGAGCATTAAGGCAAAATATGACACCAAGCTACATAAGGATTTATTCAAAAGGCAGACTATTGTTTAAATTGAGCCAGAGAGGCTCTCAAAGAGTGCAGAGGCACATAGTTGTTCTTCTGAATACAACAAAAAGTTAACTTGCAGGTACAGCAAGTATTTAAGAAGGCAAATGGAATTTTGGTCTTCAATTTGAGGGGATTGGAGTTTAAAACAATCAGGAAGTCTCGTTGTAACTGTACAGGGTGTTGGTGAGGCTATATCTGCAGTATTGTGTACAATTTTGATCCTTTTTGCGTTTAAAAATGGATATTTTGACATTGGAGGAGTTCGAAAGAGATTCACTGGGCTAGGATAAAAGGGCTGACTTATCGAGAATGGCTCAACAGGTTAGGTCTTTATTCAATACAGTTTACAAGAATGAGGGGTGATCTCAGTGAAACATACAAGATTTTGAGGGGCTTGACAGGTAGGTGCTGGGATGAATTTCCACTAGTGGGGAAATCTCAAATCACAGGACATAATTATAGAATAACAGTACACCCATTTAAAACTGAGATGGGAAGGAACTTCTCCTAGACAGTAGTTAATGTCTGGAATTCTCTACCCCAGAGAGTTGTGGAAGTAGATCACAGAAAGTATTTAAAGAGGAGGTAGATTGATTTTTTAAATAGAGGGGTAGAGGGCTATGAAAAAGAGGATTTGAAGCCTGGGGCAGATCAGTCACGATCTTGTAGCTTGGTGGGCCAGGCTTGAAGCGTTGAATGGACTACTGTTGCTCCTATTGCTTATGATTTTTCGGATGATGTGACCAAAACCTGGGCCAAAGAGGCAGGCTTTAATAAATGTCTTACAAGGAGAGCACTACAGAATGAATTCCAGACCTTGAGGACCAGGCAGCTGAAGGCATACCCACTTAATAGTGAAGTGTCTGAAATCAGGAATGCTCAAAGGGCTGGAATGAGAGGGACGCAAGGGTTTTGGATCTGGAAGAGGTTCCACAGACAGGGAAGAACAAGGCTATGGACGGATTTGAGAACATTTTAAAAATCGAGGCCAATGCTTGACTGGGAGTCAATGAAGGCAGCATGGTGGCTCAGAGGTTAGCACTGCTGCCTCACAGCACCAGGGACCCGGGTTCAAATCCTCGGTTGACTGTCTTTGTAGAGTTTGCATGTTCTCCCCGTGTCTGGTTGAGTTTCTGCCGGGCGCTCCGGTTTCCTCCCACAGTCCAAAAATGTCGAGGTTAGGTGGATTGCCCATAGTGTCCAGGGATGTGTAGGTTAGGTGTATCAGCCATAGGAAATGCAGGGTTACAAGGAAAGGGTAAAGGGGATGGGCCTGGGCAGAATGCTCCCCAGAGGGTCAGTGTGAACCCATTGGGCCGAAGGGCCTGTTCCCACACTGTAAGGATTCTATGAGGGTTAATAGAGCGCTGAAAGGCAAACAAGACTTGATTTAAGGGCATATGATTCCAGATGTCTAGCAACAGATTGACTCAATTCTTTTAACTAGCCTCTGAAATGGCTGAGTGAGACACTGAAGGGCAATTAGGGAAGAACTATAAATACTGATCACATCTGTAAAGATTGCATTCCACTAATGAATGAGGAGTTGAGATACAAATCTGTCCCGATCCCAGTGAATGCCAGAAACATGTTGGAGGGGCTAAGTGGCTTCATTTGTAATGAATGCATAACTTACACCATGCAACAAGATAGCAGCCTGTGCTATTGGTTTTAAATGCCTTCATATCGTTATAAAACGTGGTGAATTGTCAATGCGCTAACCTCCTCTTTCAGATAATCATATCTCTCGCTCCCGGGGATGGAGGACGCCCAATTTTTCTGCCGCCGCTTCATCTTTCTGTCAAACACGTTCATCGGGCTCTCCGATCTCGATGACCAACGCCGCCACCCGGGGTGGGCGATGCTCCCGGAGCCAGTAGGAGGAAGAGGCGGCGGCCCGGAGCCCGGAAGGCGGCCGAAGCTGGAGAGAAAGAGGAAGCGCCGGTCACACCGGACACGCCAGCAGCGGAGTCGGCACGGAATCCCGCTCATCTTCCCGGGGCCCCTAGTGAAGAGGGAAAGGCCGCGGAAAGCACTCCGTTGACGGTGCCCTCCTTCCTACTGTCCTTTTCTCTCCCACTCCCCGGGAGCTCCGACCGGATGTGAACTCGCCCGCACCACACTGCCGACTGGAAGGAGCCCAGGCCGCCGGAACCGCCACACAGCGCATGCGCCCGTCGGCCCCGACCGAACCATTCGCACCGGGTAGGGTGGGGAGGTTACGGGGAGAACCTTCGTCGGCGCCCGATGAGGTCGAGCGGAGTTGAAAAATAACCACCCCTCTCCCTCCGCCACCGTACAAAGGGGTGCCCGCGAGCTTGACCACACCCCCAGGTGGAGGTGAAGGGTCACGGGGCATTGGCTAGGGGGACACACGAGGATCGGAGGTGGGTACACGCGCTGTGCCAGCGGGTTAAGTAGTGACCTTGGCCGAGCGGTACCGCCAGTGTCTGGTGAGCCCGGGGTGGTGGGTTCGAATCCCACCCGAGGCTGTCCAGGGTTGTTTGGGGAAATATGATTAAATCTGGTGCTGCCAGATTGCTGTCCCGGTCCCCATCTTGAACTGAACGTTCACCATCCAGGGCCCGCTTAATTAACTGTAAGAGTGAACGTATAAGTGGTGGGGTGTATTTAGAGGGCATTTGGACAGCTACATATCTATGAAAGAATTAGAGGGATATAGGCCAAACACCGGTTAAATGGGACTAGTTCCGTTTAGGAAACATGGTTGGCATAGGCGAGTGTGGGCCGAAGGGCCTGGTTGCATAGAGCCAGACTGCAGAGATCTCATAGGAGGTGATGTGAGTGATTTTGAAAACAAAAGTGTTGCGATGGGTTAATAAGACTTGCTGCCTCAGCTGAGGGTCATCAGACCAGCCATGATTTCATTGAATGGTGGAGCAGACTTGATGGGTTTCTGCTACTTCACCTTATGGTACACTAGTTTAGCCCCCAGCCTGATGCGGCAAAGCCTGTGTTGTGCTCTGCAACATAAAAGGGCCGGCTGTGGATATGATGATGTTGAAGAATCGAACAGACATTTATTACAATCCAACTCATCAACTGACCTAGTCCTATTTGCCAGCATTTGGCCATTATCCCTCTAAACCCTTCTTATTCATATACCCATCCAGATGCCTTTTAAATGTTGTCATTGTATCAGCTTCCATCACTTCCACTGGCAGCTCATTCCGTACATGCACCACCTTCTGTGTGAAAAAGTTATCCCTCAGGTCCTTTTAAAATATTTCCCTTCTTAAACCCATGCCCTCTAGGGCAAAGGATAAAGACTTTGGCTATTCACCTAATCCATGCCCCTGTTGATATAATAAACCTCAATAAGGTCACCCCTCAGCCACCAACACTCTGGGGAAAAAGCCCCAGCCTATCTCGCCTCTCCCTGTATCTCAAACATTATGTATAAACATTACATTCACGCCTAAGTATGCAAATTAAGCTATTAATTATAACATTAGGACAAGCTTCCAGTAGAATCTCATGCTTCAAGTGATCTGGTGTAAGATGGAGTATAAGATTTTTTTATACTCTCAGGTTACATGTAAAAATGATGGTGTAACTGAAAGAGTCACTTTCAGACATAAAACAACAATATGGACGTGGAAGTAGAATTTTGAATGACCTTAATTTTAGAAATTAATATGAAGGTTGAAGTGGGTGGTGTCAAACTGGAAGAATTGGTAAATCTGTTTTGGATAAATAATAATAAGATAGCAGATGCAATTCAGAAATTAAAAAAAGGTCGTGATAGTCAAGAATAAGGTTGTAGACATGCTCGCTGAGCCGGTGGGTTTGGTTGCAAACGTTTCTTCACCCTGCTGGGTAACATCATCAGTGCGCCTCTGGTGAAGCATCGGTGTTCTGTCCCACTTGTTATCTATATCCCTCGGTTTGCTGGGATGGTTGGTTTTGCTTCCGGTTCTGTTTCTCAGTGGTTTGTACACAGGACCTAATTCAATGTGTTTGTTCATGGAGTTACAGTTGGAATACCAGGCCTCCAGGAATCCCATGGTGTGTCTCTGTTTGGCTTGTGCGATTATCGCTGTGTTGTCCCAGTCGAATTTGTGTCCCTCGTCTGTGTGTAGTGAGACAAATGAGAACTGGTCATGTCTCTTGGTGGCTAGTTGGTGTTTGTATATCCGAAATGTCAGTTTTCTTTCGGCTTGGCCTATGCAGTGTTTCACACAGTCCTTGCATGGTATTTTGTATAGTACAGCAGGCCTGGCAGCATCTGTGAAGGAAAAAACAGAGTTAATGTTTCGGGTCCAGTGACCCTTCCTAGGACCCAAAACGTTAACTCTGTTTTCTCCTTCACAGATGCTGCCAGACCTGCTGGGCTTTTCCAGCAATTTTGTTTTTGTTCCTGATTTACAGCAGCCGCAGTTCTTTCGGTTTTTATTTTGTATGGTACATTGGTTTTGCTGGTTTTGGGTATAGGATCCATTACGTTCGTCAGTAGCTGTCGTAGGGTGGTTGTCAGTTTGTGGGCTTCCCTGATACCTAGGGGTCTGAGAACTCTGGTGGTCATCTCTGAAATGTCCTTGATGTATGGTAGGGTGATTTGAGAGTCTGGTCGTGTTGTGTCTTCTTGTTGTGGTCTGTTTCGGAGGTAATAGCAGATTGTGCTTTTCGGGAATCCATTCCTTTTGAAGACTCCGTATGGGTGTTCCTGTTCTGCTTTCCGTAGTTCCGGGTTGCTGCAATGTGTTGTGGATCGTTCAAATAGTGCCCTGATGAAGCTCTGTTTGTGGGTGTTGGGGTGATAGCTAGTGTAATTGAGTATCTGGTCTGTATGTGTGGTCTTTCCATATACAATAGTCTGGAGTTCCCTGTTGTTTTTGCTTTCTACCATTATGTCCAGGAAGGGTAGTCGGTTGTTGTTCTCTTCTTTTGTGAATTTTATCCCGGTGAGGATGTTGTTTATGTGTCAATGGTTTCTTCTAGTTTTGTGCATTTGATAATCATGAAGGTATCATCTACATATCGGTCCCAAAGTTTGGCTGTATAATGGGGAGTACTGTCCATTCTAACCTTTGCATTACTGCTTCTGCAATCAGTCCTGATATTGGGGATCCCATTGGTGTTCCGTTGATTTCTTTGTATGTGCTGTCGTTGAAGGTGATGTAGATCGTGAGGTACAGATCTGGTAGTTTCATGGTGGTGTCCTTATTGATGTTGGTGGTGTCCTGGGTTGTCTGCTTACTTGATTCGTCCAGTAGTGTGGCAGCTGTTTCTTTGGCTAGGTTGATGTTTATGGATGTAAATAGTGCTGTTACGTTGAAGGATATCATCACCTCATCCTCTTCTATCTGGGTGTCCTTCATGTTGTTGAGGAATTCTTTGAGCCTTTGAAATGTGGGTGCTGAGGTGTATGTTAAAAATGCCCTGTACTGACCGTCAGACAAATGAAGAGGCACTTGGAACTGCGAGAGCTAAAGGAACGCTTAAAAAAATTGACATTAGGTAAATATTGGCATTTTGGTGCCTTAATCAGAACTGAAAAGCTACCAAGCTTGCTCCTGAAGGGCAGCAGAAAGACACATTAGCCAAGGCATAGTTAACTGATGGATGACATAGATCAGTTGCAGATGTGTGAAGCTGGAGTCGGATGGAGGATCATAACGTACCATTGATAGCAGGTCTGGTAGGAGCAGCTACTTGCAAGAGCTGGAAGGTTGGTTAGGAGTGCATTGGGAACAGTTAGGCCCAGAGGTAGGGAAAGCATAGGTGAGGATATGTTAAGGCATGGGTAGATGATGGAAATGGTCAATACCTGCATCTCATAAGGGTCATGAGAGCAATAGTTAATGTAAAATAAGCAGATCATGATTTGACAAGGCAATTCCAAATTTTACACTACAGAATTAACGGAATAGTTTGTTCTGTGACAGAGAAACCATCAAATGTTGTTCCAGCTCCAATTACAGCCAATGACCAACAGTACAAAAAACCAATCAATATCAAAAACATTGGCAAATTTTCAGCAGGTCAGGTAACATCAGTGAAGAGAGAAAGACAGTTAACAATTCAGATTGATGATATTTTATTAAAACCGGTGAGTTGTGTTTCTCTCCTCATCGATGCTGCCTGACCTGCTGAGTATTTCTAGCATTTCTGTTTACATTTCCAATTTTGATAATCATTTGGTTTCAGAGCAACAGTGCTTGTTGCTTTAATATCAATGGGCAGTTGCTATTTTTGTCTCCCCTCATAGATCAGTGGAGCATTTGTCAAGAAGACTCCTTTTTGGGAATATTTCTTTGGAGTTTTCAACAGTAACCTTCTTATAAATATCACAGCCACGGCAGATCTGCTTCTGGGTGGTGTGGGCATTTGAAGTATTGCAAACTGGACCTCAGCAGTAGATGTTCCAATTCAAGAAGTCATGGACTGAATGTTGGGAGGACAAGCTAACAACAGTGATTCTACACAAGGCATGTTCCAGATTAAATTATGAGGCACTGTAGCACTGTAGAGCTTAATGCAAATAAGATCATTTTAGCCGACTATTTGATATTGTCAAAGGGACTGCACGTTGTAAAGACTTGGTAGTGGATTAGCTGTCCTCATTTGGGATGTAATGGAAGGTTCTGTAAGGGCAGAGGAAAATATGTTTATTCCTCAAGAGTTGTTTAATGATCAGGGGTCACCCATTTGAAACAGAAATTGGTGAAATCATTTCTCACGGATGGTCGTGGGTCTCTTAGGGAAAGGTGAAGGAAGTAGAGTCCTTGAGTGTTTCTAGGCAGAGGTAGGTAGATTCTTATTAAGCAAGGGGGTGAAAGGTTAGAGACAAAAATAGAAATTCCTGGAAAAGCTCAGCAGGTTTGGCAGCATCTGTGGAGAGAAATCTGAGTTAATACCGAAACGTTAATTCTGACTTCTCTCCACAGATGCTGCCGGATCTGCTGAGCTTTTTCAGCAATTTCTATTTTGTCTCTGATTTCCAGCGTCCACCGTTCTTTCAGTTTTTACAGGGTGAAAGGTTATCAAGGGAATCTGAATTTGAGGTTACAACCGGATCAGCTATGATCTTGTTGAATGGTGGAGCAGGGCTGAATGGCCTTCTCCTTGAATTTGTATGTTTGTATTTATGTGAATCGTAGTTCAGAAAATCTCTGTCTTGGTACATAACATAACCACGTCACTTTTGATCTACACGTATTTCAACTTGTTCTTTTTTTCCCTGAGATACTTCATTCATTGAAAGTTGTATTTTTGTTGTTGCAGTTTTATTAAATCAGAAGATTCGGTGAAAATGACATCAAGATCGCAGGAAATCATGAACGATGGACGCTTCAGTCAGGTGATGACTGACCCCAGGTTCTGGGAGATGCCTGACAAGGAACGCAAGATCAAGATTGATAAGAGATTTCAGGGAATGTTTCATGACAAGAAGTTCAAACTGAATTATACAGTGGACAAGAGAGGAAGACCAATCAACCACAGCACCACAGAGGACCTGAAGCGATTTTATGACCTGGACTCTGAGGACTCTGACCTGGGTGAAAGTGAAGACATGAAGGAGAAAGGGAAAGGGAAGGTTAAGAAAAAACTGAAACAGAGAGGAAAAGGTGGTCCTGAGAAAGATGCAAAAGGCAGCACGTTGGACAAAAAGAAGGGAAAACAGGGGACGTTTTTCAAATCTGACGTGGACAGGGCAGCAAGGCAGGACCTGGGGAAAGAGCTGGAAACTGAAAAATTGATCGACGATCGTGTTGAAGTGACTATGAAGACACCGCTTAAACAGGAAAAGCTTAAAAGGACAGCTGGTGCGAAGTGTGTTGTTACAGACGATGGTGCTGAAAGTGATGAAGAGATGAAGCAGATAAGTGTAAAACAGGAGAAACCCCTGTCTATCCAAAAGAAACAACTGAGGAAAAATGTCAACACGAATCAAGACAAGGGGAAAAAATTAGAAGCGAGGAATCAAGAAAGAAGTTTAACAAGTCGGAGTTCTTCAGAAAGTGAAATTGAATGTGGTATGTGACTTCCCTGGAATTATGACTTTTCCTTCGACTATGCTGGATCCTGTGGGAATCTCGATTGCATTAGTTCAACTTGTTTGTTTACGTTTTTCCTTTGAAACTTTGTTGTATGTGACATGTACACTGTTGACACTTGGGTAAACATTTAATGCCTTTGTTATTGATTTGGGTGGTTTTGTGCATAGGAACAGGATGTAAGAACCACTCCCCTGGATCCTGTTTCACTAGCCAATGAGAACAAGGCTGATCTGCAACCTAACACCCCCTTTTTGGCCCATATTGTGTATAATTTGGTTAATACAATTCTGTCAGTTTAGACTTCAAAATTAATAACTGATCTAGCATCATTAGCTATTTGCAGAAGGAAGTTCCAAATTCCTGCCACCCTTTGTGTGTGGAAGTGTTTCTTCATTTCTGTGCTGAAAGGTAAGGCTCCCTCTTGTTGAATCTGCCCCCTAAGCCTAGACTCCCCAGTCAGCAGAAATGGTTTTTCTCGATCCACCCAGTCTGTTCCCATTAATATCTTGAAAACTTCGACCCAAGGAACACCACCCTGATTTTTACAGTCTCTCCTCACAATTAATCTCTTCATGTCCAGTTATCATTCTGGTGTAACTCCATGCTGTACTCGTTCTCTGCATTTTGAAATTTAATTTATGCTTGACTATGAGCTTCTTTGTGTCAACTTTTGGCATTGAGTTTCTTGTCAATATCTTTGTGTTGATTTTTGAGACCTGGTTACAGGTTTAAGCTTGATTGAGTTGGTTACACTCATTACTGTGAGCCAGAGAATTGTGGGTTCAGTACAGAGCTCAGTGCATATGCCAACCTGACATTCCAATGTTGTGTTAAGGGAGTGTGGCATTGCTGGAGTACCGTCTGTCAGGCCCCACCTCCCCAAAAACATTTCTGTGCCTTCATAGACATAAAAGGTCTTCGGACTGTGTTTGAAGAAGAGCAGAGAGTTTTTCTACAACAACTTTGATTTGTATGGCAGCTTCATATAGATGTAGTCTTCAATGACGGCTCAAATCGCCAGAATTAGTTGAGTACTAAGATACTTTCAGGATCTGTGCTATTGCAATAGTGTGCATCTGAACCATGCTAGAGCCACTGTTCATGTGTGCTGTGTAACTAGGGAGGCAGAGAGAATTATAAACTAAATTGACGGGGCAAGGGATCAAATTGGGTAGGTATGCTAAATTAGAGGCAAACCAGAAATGTATTAATACAGAAAATGATAAACAGACTGTGATAAGAAGGGATAGAGAGTACAAATCTAAGAGTAAAGCAATAGATAAGTCTAGAAATTACAAAAAAGTTAAAACGAAAATTCCGTGTCTGAATGCATGTAGCATTCAAAATGAAACAGATTAACTAGGACTGCAAATAGAAATAAATAAAATATGATCTGGTAGCCATTACAGAGACAAGGCTGCAGGGTGACATTGATCGGGGCCTGAACTTTGAAGGGTACAGTGCTTTTAAGAAGGAACACAAGGAAAAGATGGAGGGGTGTCTCTGTTAGTTAGTGTGTATTAACATAATAAAAAGAGACAACCTATGTTCAGGAACAAAAACAGAAATTGCTGGAAATGCTCAGCAAGTCTGACAGCGTTTGTGGAGAGAAATCAGAGGTAACATTTCAGCTCCAGTGACCCTTCCTCAGAACTGATGGTAGCTAGGAAAGTGTTGGTTTATATGCAGAAGATCAGGTGGGGGGAGGGGGTAAGGATAGGTGAGGATAGAGCCCAAAGAGAGAAAGGAACAGAGATAGTAGGAACTGCAGATGCTGGAGAATCCGAGACAACAAGGTGTAGAGCTGGATGAACACAGCAGGCCAAGCAGCATCATAGGAGCAGGAAGGCTGACGTTTCGGGCCTAGACCCTTCATCAGAAAAACAGTTGGACAGACAAAGCAGTGGATAACAATCTGTCCAGGAAGGTAAATAGCTATTAATGAGGAATATTAGTGGTTAATAATGGATTGTGTGTATTCACAGACTGTGTTAACAAGGTCTGGTGTGTTGGGACTAGGGTAAGGACATGAGAGAGCTCAAGTCCTAAAGTTAATAAACTCGATATTGAGTCCAGAAGGCTGCAGGGTTTCTCCACAGATGTTGCCAGACCTGTTGAGATTTTCCAGCAATTTCTGTTTCTGGTTTACAGCATCTGCAGTTCTCTCGGTTTTTATTGACCTATGCAGGGTCAGGTTGCATGACAGAACATGAAAATGGTTTGGGTAGACATGAGAAATGTTGAAGGCAAGAAGATACGTGGGAGTGGTATACAGGCTACCTAACATTAACTACATGGACAGGTGGAGCATAAAAAGAGAAATAATTACAGCTCGACAGAAAGGCACGGCAATAATCGCTGGACATTTCAACCTACACATAGATTAGTAAAATCAGATGCTCAAGGGTAGCCTAGATGAAGGATTCATAGAATGTTTTAAGGATAGTTTTTGTGTTCTGGAGCCTTCCAGAGAGCTAGCTATACCTGACCTAGTATTGTGTAACGAGATAGAATTCATTACTGATCTCACAGTAAAGACTACACAAGGTAGCAACCACCATAACATAATTGAATTTAACATGCAGTTTGAGTGAGAGAGGAGTGTGTCCTAAAGTTTTTTTTAAAAAATTAAATAAGGACAATTAATGTGGTATGAAACCAGAGGTAGATTGGCAAATTAGATTTAAGCAGAGATGTAGTGACAAACATTTGAGATACTTCTGTATATGTACGTTAGATATTCCAAGGAGTAAGACAAATTCCAAAGGAGGAATCCACCATCCATGATTCAGTAGAAAACTTAAAGGTAGTATCAAACTAAAAGAGAAAGCACATAACTACGTAAAGACAGATGGTGAGCCAGCGTATTGGATAATATATAAAAATAGTGAAGAATGATTTTACAAAATAGTAAACAGGCAAAGATTAAAGTAAGAGAGAAAGCTAGGTGTAAATAAAAAGAAGATAAAAATGTAGATATTTTAAAAAGAAATAAGTTAACAAAGAGACCATTGGTCCTGTATGAAGTAATAATAATGAAAAGTAACGAGTTGGCAGATGAATTGTACAGATATATCACACGTATCCTCTATAGTGAAGACACACGTAACATTCCATTAGTCAAGAAGTGGAAGGGAGCAAGGACCTCAGGAAAATTACAATCAACAAGGAAGTGATTCTGAGTGAATTGTTGGAGTTGCAGCTGATAAGTCCTTTGGTCCTGATGGACTCCATTCTGGTTTCAGAAAGTAAGTGGCTGGTGAGATTGTTAATGCATTGCTTTTAGTTTTCCAGAACTCCCCAGATTCAGGAAGGCCCCATTAGATTGGAAGGTACAGAATGCAACTCCTTTATTCAAAAAGTGGAAGAGAAAGAAGGCAGGGAACAACAGGGCAGTTACTTTGACATCTGTCATAGGGGAGATGTTAGAAGCTACTATTAAAAAAAGTAATAGCAGGGCACTTAATTAAGTTTATGCTAATCAGACAGAGCCAAAATCACTTTTGTTTTGACTCTGTCTGATTAGCATGCACTTATTTAAGTGCCCTGCTATTACTTTTTTTAATAGTAGCTTCTAACATGGGAAGAGTATGCCGATAATCATGCCCCACAGTTCCGCAAGCCGTCACAAATGTATAAAATTTCTCATTCCTGCATATTCTGAAATATTTCCTTAAGTGTTTGTCACTGCATCTCTGACCTATCCTTTAATCTAATTTGCGAATCCACCTGAGCCAGCTCTGTTTTCATACCATGTTAATTGCCCTTATTTAATCTTTTTTCAAGCCATCAAGGTGACTAGTTTACCTGCCTGACTGCTGTTCAGGACAAAAGCAATTCACACCAGATTTCAGCACTATATAAAATAACTACTTGTTGTAACACACTTAATTTTACTGCAAAGAAAGGATCTCTCATCTATGACTGTGCAACTTAAACTATATGCCCCTCTAAACCCCAAAATACCTACATGCTCATTGATAATTAAAACATATAAAAGACAGATGGTATGATGGAGATATTACGAGTGGAAAATAATATAGAGAGAATAAATAAAATTCCAGAGATCAGAGGTCCAGATTTCACGGGTGGGTTATATTGTCTCGTTTAGTTCCGCTTGATTTTTAACATGGATGAGATGTTGCTGTCTGTAAGGCAGAAGTTGTTCCTCACTTGAATAGTTAATCTTTCAGATGTAGGTCATTTCTTGTTAGAATTCTATTTCAAGCTTTCTTTGTTTTTGTGTTTCCCCACATAGAGAAAGGACAAGAGAGAGAGATGTTCATTTCACAAGCTCTGGATGTCTCTTGCTTCTCTTGTGCTTTTTGCTCTGTAACAAACAAAGTTTCATTAACTCAAAGGCACTTAATGCCACTATGTCTCAAAGTCGCGATGCGTCAAAAAGCAACATTCTCTTTCACAGCCTAAAAAAAAGTGCACGACTTGATTGTTTTCCGAATTGCTAAACTTGCCTGGTATTTCAGATTTTTAGCAGTACAACTTCCATTTCAGCTTATAGTTCCAGAAGGTAAAATATATGTTATAGTTGAGTCATATACAGTCATACAGCATGGAAATGGACCTTTGGGTCCAAATAGTCCATGCTGACCATAATCCCAAACTAAACTAGTTCCATCTGCCTGCATTTGGCTCATAGCCCTCCAAACCTTTCCTATTCATGTACTTTTCCAAATGTCTTTTAAATGTGACTGTACCTACAACCACCACTTCCTCTGGTAGTTCATTCCACATGTCCTTTTTAAAATCTTTCTCCTCTCACTTTAAAATTACGCCCCCTGGTTTTGAACTCCCCACCTAAGGGATAAGGCCCTTGCTGTTCACTTTATCTTTGCCCCTCATGATTTTATAAACATCTATAAGGTCACCCTCAACCAACTATGCTCCAGTGAAAAACGTTCCAGCCTATTTTCATAGCTCAAACTCTCCATTCCCAGCAACATCCTGATAATATCCTTTCTATACCAGGGTGATCAGAACTGTACACAGTCCTCCAGAAGAGACCTCACCAATGCCCTGTACAACTTCAATATGAGGTCCCAAGTCTCACACTCAAAGGTCTGAGCAATGAAGCCAGCGGAACCAGTGGATACACCACACTCAGATTTCCAGAAGGCTTTGATAAAGTGCCACATCAAAGGTTATTGTGGAAAATTAAAGCTCATGGAAAAAAAATTCCATTTGTAAACATGAGGGATTAAATCAGACTTGAAGAATGTCAATTGAATTCTCTCTGAGCTGCTCAATTTTTAGAAGTATTTTCAAATCTTGTTATTAGGTGGTTTTGAAGGGAATGGGACCTATCCAATGCAAATAAAAACCAAAATATTCCACAAACACTGGCATAGTGAAAGAAACTGGAGAAGCTGTAGTGCACTAATTGGCACCTTTGAAGACCGCAAATCAGGTTTTGTGTGAATAACCTTGGCAAACGTTCTGCTGAAGAGTACAGACCTAAAATGTTGACTCTTCCCTGTCTGCTTCTAATTTTTTCAACCATTGCGTTCAACCACGTCGTCTCATCACTTTATTTTCATAGATGGTTGTTTGGAAAACAGATCTATGCCTTCTTAAAAAAATAAAAATACTCCTGTAATTGTTTTTACATTTCAGAAAGCAGTGATAGCGATCGGGGTGAAGGCAGCTGCTTCGAGACAAGATCTTCAGGGTCAGATGGCCAGAGTCAGGAGGAGGAAGGTGAAGAAACCGGAGACAGTGAAGATGACGAGGAATTATCTGAGGAAGACACTGACAGTGACAGTGGTCCTGACTTAGCCAGGGGTAAAGGGAATGTTGAAACGAGCTCTGATGATGATGACTATTTTGATGATCTGTCTTCAAAGCTCCCAGGAATTGAACACGAATGGGGAGAACTAGCTAAGAATGCTCCACGTGCAGACAAGGTACATCGCTCAATTGTGTTTCTTTTCCCATTTGATCACCTAGGTCTTAAATATAAACATTAAGATTTTAGGATCATATCTTAAATCATTAACTTTTGACGAAATTGCTTGAAAAGTCAGGGTGCTGATTTGTCACAAGATTCCAATAACACATCCTACTTTGCCTCATAGGTCAGTCAACGATTAGCGGTTTGCAACATAGACTGGGATAAAATAAAGGCAAATGATCTGTTGGTATTGTTCAATTCATTCATCCCCCAAGGAGGTGCTGTCTTGTCTGTGAAGGTGAGCTTTTTAAAAATTTTCCATGTTTTTTCCACCCACTTTTTTTTTAAACTCCGCCCCCCCACCCCACCCCACCCCACCCCACCCCTCACAGCACACACATGCACAGACACTTACACATTCTGTGACTTAACAGGAATAGTAGCAACTTGAGCTTGTTAGGAGCAGGAATAGGCCATTTGGCTCCTTGAGTCTGTTCTGTGCTTGGATAAGATCATGGCTGATCTGTTTCAAATTTGACATTCCCACCTACTCACCTGATAAAAATGTTATAATTCGCAATTTAAATAGACAAATTACCTTATATAAATTGATGGGACAGAACTTGGATATTGCTGAAAGACGACACATTCTGTGGAAGTTTTTTTGTCTTGCACTTATCAGGATAAATCGCAACACCAATAAGGGGAAAACCAACATTGAAATTATGTGAGATGATTGATTGGTAACTGGGCTCTGATTGGTAGAGCCATGGAAAATGCACCAATTAATGAATTCACTGTTGCATTCTTCAAGATATAACCTTTACCAATCAGTCATCACTGTCCTCTCATACAGCTTTAATGTTGCTTTTCCCCTTTAATGGTATTCTGCAATTTATCCTGATGAGTTCAAGACAAAAAGATTTGGTAGAACGTGTCTTTTGTAAGCAAAATATTTATAAAGGGCCTTCAGTGAAATGCAATGTACTTCAGAGAAGCATTATAAAACAAGATATGACATCAAATTGCACAGAGATATTAGGGCAGATAATCAAAAGCTTGGTCAAAGAGGTAAGTTTTAAGAAGTGTGTTAAAGGAGCAAAGTGATGTAGCGAAATGAAGAGGTTTATGGAGAGAATTCAAAAGCTTAGGGCTTACGAAAAAGATGGCATGGCCATCACTGGTGGACTCAATAGCGTTGGGGATGGTCGGGATGTCATTAGAGGACTGCAGGTGTCTGAGGTACACGGGGCAGAGAAAAGAAAGAGAGAGGCCATGAATGGCTTTGAAAACCGGGATGAGAACTTTGGATCCATTGTAGGACATCAAGCACAGGAGTGGTAGGGAACAGGACTTGATATGTGTTAATAAATGGGCAATTGATGGGGTACGGGAGGGTAATGATAGCAAACCATCCAATTATGCATTGGAACATTCAAATGTACAGATAAGAAAGGTAAGAATGAGAATAAAAACCGAAAAAACTGCAGATGCTGTAAATCAGGAACAAAAACAAAGTTGCTGGAAAAGCTCAGCAGGTCTGGCAGCATCTGTGAAGGAAAAAACAGAGTTAACGTTTCGGGTCCGGTGACCCTTCCTCAGAAGGTAAGAATGAGAGTTCATTTGCAGAAGTCCTGCAATGGGTGAACTGGGGCAATGAAAAGTGAAAATAAGCAGCCTTAATGATGGCACCATTACAAAGTTGAAAACTCATTTCATTATCAAATGTGACACCAAGGTTCCAAACAGACTGACTTAATCTCGGACTGTTGCTAGGGGGATGGAGGGGTTCGGTACCTCGAGAATGGAGTTTTGAATGAGGATTGCCAACAATGTCCTTTGTTTTCCCATATTTAATCTAAAGCAACTTTAATGGAAAGTAAGCATCAAACTGCTTTTGCTAATATGATTTTTCGTGACAATGGAAAGGCACTTGCTTATTGGTAGTCTAACCGTATGCACTGAGTAGCAATAGGCTTTGGGCTTATCTTAAATCTTGCAATTTCTGGCAATAACTGCATTCTTCTTACCTCCACTAAATAGGAGCACAATAATCAGAGGCATGAGAAACCGTTCCTTGGCAGTGGGGAACATTTGCATAATGCAGGGAGCAGAATTTAGAAGAAAATGTCAGTTTTAAAAATTGGACGCAGGGAGAGGTGAATGCACAAGTTTTGACAGAGCTGTTTTTGGCGGTAGTGATCAGAAGTCACAATATTTTAGAATGTGAACATGGATTAGTGTCGCTCGTGTGTAGCACTGGGCTGAACCAGCTGTTTTCTGTCTTTAAATTGCTGTGGTATCCACCCGTTGTGGATTTGGAATGTTGCCATTGAACAATAAAGAAGGGAAAACTCATGCAAGTGTTTAACTTGGTGTCACGACTGTGGTAGCAGTGATGGGTCTGCAGCAAGGAACTTGAATATTGGGAAGTTCATTTACATTGTCAGACAGCCACAATAACTCTGCATTTTTCTCCCTCCATGTAATTGTGGTATGGAGGTATAAGCTGGCCTTGTGGCTTTGTCTTCTGTTACGAATTAGCATTTTGCTGTTGTCAACTTGGTAAATGTCACAATGTCGTGCTACTTTCTGGTTACTCCTCATGGAAGGGTTTCATTTCCAAGGAATACACAGATGAAATGTATGAAAGAGCAGACTAAGATTATTTTTGCTCAAGAATGGTTAGAATTGGAGTAAATAAAAAAAAACCCATGCTAAGCTAACATTATGAAGTATTTAACAAGGAATCATAGGTGCTGATTGGCAGAGTGGTGATGGCATTGTGCATCTCAGAATAAGGGGCAGAAGAAAATCTTTATTCCCCCTCTAAAATGTTGCCGTCTTTATTCATAACCATACTACCCTGATAAATAAATCATTGCCCTAAATAAGGCCATCAGCCCATGGTGTCTGTGCCAAAGAGCTAAACAATCAGTTCCATTCCACTGCTTTATCGCCATAGCGTTATAAGTGTATTTAAAGCAAATAGCAAAAGATCATACAGAGGGAAACCATATTTTTTTTATTTACACAGCAAGTGGTTAGATTCTACAAAGCAATGCATGAGAGTGTGGAGGAGACAATTTCCATTGTGGCTTTCAAAAAGGAAATTGGATAATTATCTGAACAGAAACAATGCGCAAGGCTACCAGGAAAACGAGGGGAAAGTGGAATTAGCTGAACAGAGAGCCAGCATTGACACAATGGGCTGATTTGGTCTCCTCCTGTACAGTAAACCTTCTCTTAAGTATTTATCCAATTCCCTTTTAATTGTTACCTTCAAATCTGCTTCCAGTACCCTTTCAATCAGAAGGCTGTAAGCCATATCACCTTGCTGCCTTTAAGAATAAACCGTACTTGCATCACCACCTGTGCAATCATGCAGCCTTTGATGTCACTGCTAGCGACACAGCATGTAATTGTTTGTTTCAGTAAGTTGGTGGTGGCCAAACTCGGTAAAAATGCAGTTTCCCTGATTGTTCGTTGAGTAAATACATCTTACAGTGTGGGGTCATCACGAAGATCTGATGCCCAAAGATGGAGGAAAGAACACTTCGACCTGTGCCCCAGAGCCAAGATCTTACGTCCAAGCTGGGTGGTGACCCATCGATGGTATCAAATGTACAGACCACCTGTCTTAGTGTACAGTGTAAGGAAATGTGTCCTTTTTTAAACAAAACCTGATCCCTTTCACTGCTCCTTAAATCTGTGTTCAACGATTACCTGCGTTCCTGCCAGTGGAAACCCTGTCTTTATTTCCTAAAACCCAGCATAATTTTAGATACTTCTTTCAAACCTTCCCTTGACCCCATCGACTTACACAAATCTAAGTTAAAGTTCTAAATTGGAAGAAGGCCAATTTTGAAGGTATTAGGCAAGAACTTTCAAAAGTTGTTGGTGGGGTACAGCGGATGTTCGCAGGTAAAGGGACTGCTAGAAAATAGGAAGTTTACAAAAATGCGATAGCGAGAGTCCAGAGATGGTATGTTCCAGTTAGGGTGAAGGGCAAGGCTGGTAGGTGTAGGGAATGCTAGATGACCGGAGAAATTGAGTTTTTGGTCAAGAAAAAGAAGGAAACATATGTCAGGTATAGACAGCAGAGATCGAGTAAATCCCTAGAGGAGTATAAAGGCTGTAGGAGTATACTTAAGAGGGAAATCAGGAGGGCAAAAAGGGGATGTGAGATAGTTTTGGCAAATAGGACTAAGGAGAATCCAAAGGGATTTTATAACTACATTGAGTACAAAAGGGTAACTAGGGAGATAATAGGTTCCCCTAAAGATCAGTGAGGCCACCTATGTGTGGAACAGCAGGAGGTGGGGGAGTTACTAAATGAGTATTTTGCATCAGTGTTTACTGTGGAGAAGAATATGGAAGATGGAGAACGTGGGAAATAAATAGCAACATCTTGAAAAATGTCCATATTACAGAGGAGGTGTGCTGGATGGGTTAAAAAGTATAAAGGTGGATAAACCACTGGGATCTGATCAGGTGTACCCTAGAACTCTGTGGGAAGCTAGGGAAGTGATTGCTGAGCCCTTTGTTGAGATATTCGTATCATCGATAGCCACAGGTGAGGTGCCGGAAGACTGGAGCTTGGGTAATAAGGTGCCACTATTTAAGGAAGGTGGTAAGGAAAAGCCAGGGAACTATAGACCTGTGTGCCTGACATCAGTTGAGGGCAAATTGTTGCATGGAATCCTGAAGGACAGGACTTACATGTATTTGGAAAGATAGGGACTAATGAGGCTTAGTCAGCATGGCTTTGTGTGTGGGAAATCGTGTCTTGCTAATTTGACTGAGTATTTTGAAGAAGTAACAAAGAGGATTGATGAGGGCAGAGTGGTGGACATGATCTGTATGGACTTCAGGAAGATATTCAACAAGGTTCCTCATGGTAGACTGGTTAGCAAGGTTAGATCACATGGAATACAGGGAGAACTAGTCATTTGGATACAGAACTGGCTCAAAGGTAGGAGACAGAGGGTGGTAGTGGTGGTGGAGGGTCGCCTGTCAGACTGGAGGCCTGTGACCAGTGGTGTGCCACAAGGATCGGTGCTGGGTCCACTGCTTTTTGTCATTTATATAAATGATTTGGATGTGAACATAGGAGGTATGGTTAGTAAGTTTGCAGATGACACCAAAATTGGAGCTGTAATGGACAGAAAGAAGTTTACCTCAGAATACAACGGGATCTTGATCAGATGGGCCAATGAGCCGAGGAGTGGCAGATGGAGTTTAATTGAGGTAAATGTAAGGTGCTGCATTTTGGAAAGGCAAATCAGGGCAGGACTTATACACTTAATGATAAGGTCCTGGGGAGTGTTGCTGAACAAAGAGGCCTTGGAGTACAGGTTCATAGTTCCTTGAAAGTGGAGTCACAGCTAGACAAGATAGTGAAGAAGGCATTTTGGAATGCTTGCCTTTATTGATCAGTGCATTGAGTATAGGAGTTGGAAGGTCATGTTGTGGCTGTACAGGACATTGGTTAGGCCACTTTTGGAATACTGTGTGTAGTTCTGGTCTCCTTGTTATAAAGAGGATGTTGTGAAACTTGAAAGAGTTCAGAAAAGTTTTACAAGGATGTTGCCAGGGTTGGAAGGTTTGAGCTATAAGGAGAGGCTGAATAGGCTGGGACTATTTTCCCTGGCGTGTCGGAGACTAAGGGGTGACCTTATAGAAGTTTATAAAATAATGAGGGACACGGATAGGGTGAATAGTCAAGGTCTTTTCCCTGGGATGGGGGAGTCCAAAACTAGAGAGCATAGTTTTAAGGTGAGAGGGGAAAAATATAAAAGGGACCAAAGGGGCAACTTTTTTATGCAGAGGGTGGTGCGTGTATGGAATGAGCTGCCAGAGGAAGTGATGGAGGCTGATACAATTACCGCAATTAAAAGGCATGTGGATGGGTGTATGAAAAGGAAGGGTCTAGAGGGATATGGACCAAATGCTGGCAAATGGGACTAGAATTATCTAGGATATCTGGTCGGCATGGACTGAAAGGTCTGTTTCCGTGCTGTACATCTCTGTAAATCTGAGTCTATAACATGATCAACGTTTCTAAACCTTGCACGTTACTGGAGTTACATCTTTGATATAATTCCAGCAAGTTAATCTGCACTGCTTTAGGACCTTAATGTCCTTAACACTGATGCTCAGAATTGGATGCAGAATTCTATCTCAGACGAAACCAGCGATTTACACCAGTTTATCATTTGGAAGAAAATTTCACATCAGCCGTTTCCACATGGATGGATGAATAAGCTAAACACGTTGGATATTTCTGACCACAGAGTAGCTCCTGGTGTTACTGTGTGGGGTCACGCCCTTGGCAAAGTTTCCTTTTCTAACGTACACACAGTGACCCATTTCTGTTCAACACATTACTTCCCGCTCCAACGGAGAACAACTGTTCAAACGGTGTCTTCTGCTTTTTGAGATTTTGGGCCCTTTCTTGTGTATTTTATTTTCATTTTGCCTTTCATTGAAAGGAAAGGGGAGCAGAAGTGTCTCAAATTTTCACATGATTAAGTGCGCACTTTTTGTTGTACTTCATAAATCAGAAGATTTTTAATTTTAAATTATTGAACATGATCGGACATTAAAAAGGAGAAATGTAATTACTTATGGTGATGAAGTAAGTTTCATTACCTGCCCCTTGCCTGTATTAATGCTAAATTCTAAAGTCCACTTTGGTGAAAGGATTCTTGGCCACATTGCAACCAGAGTTTCTGGACTTCAAACCAGCAGAGGGTGCTATACATCGGATTTTAAACTGAAGTGATGGTCACTGCTTAAAGCAATAAGTTGCATGAAATCATTTGAAATATTTAACACTTCAGTATTTTAAATGTGCAAGATTACAGACAGTTGGCAGGAGAGGCTTTTTCCACAGGTCTGTGAAGGCTGTAAATTGTACAAGTGGAATTATTGATTGAAGCAGAGGGTATTCCAACATCAAAGGATGGATTTAGATAGGTATTTGAAGAAGAGGAATAAAAAAACAGAAATAAGGGATTAAGACTTATATAAGGTCATTAGTACCCGAAAGGTTTGAGATCACAAGATAAACTGGGCCCATCAGCCTGTAGCGGACCTTTTTTTTAATTATTTATTTGTGGGATGTGGGAGTCGCTGGCTGGTCCAGCATTTGTTGCTCACCCCTAGTTGCCCCTTGAGAAGGTGGTGGTGAGCTGCCTTCTCGAACCGCTGCAGTCCTCCTGCTGTGGTTTGACCCACAATGCCGTTAAGGAGGGAATTCTGGGAGGAGGTAAACAGTTTCTAAGTTGCAAGTTGAAGTTTGGTGCTAAGTTTTATGTATCTAAACAGATTGTAATCAGCTATTAAGTACTATGAAATAAACATATTCTCTTTATCAAGGCTGAGCCTCACTTCTGCCAAAGACTTTCAGCCAAATATTACATGGGCCTGTACAATGTGGGCAATGGCGAGATTTGTAGAATCACATGTGATATCTAGTGAGGCCTAACTCGATGTTGGGAGCAACTCGCTGCAATTTTTATGCATGAGACTGGCAGTGATTACCAATTAGGGAGGATAATAGCTTCAACACAATTAACAGCACAGTGCACCTCATTGATACTTAGTTGCCTCTCTCACCAAACATGCCAAACAAACCAAACATCAGGTATTTCTGACATGGAAGTCAGAGCAGTTCGCCACTGGCTGCCAAGAGTCTCCATGCAGTGGGTCGCCTCTAAGGGCACGATCCATTGGCATCAGCCCCACACAGCCCTCCCTCGTCCTTGGCATCTGACACTTACTAATCCCTCTCCACCATAATGGCACCTCTCTGCAGATCCCTTAGGAAGCACAGACCTGTATTGCAGGGTGCACCAGCACCTAGTATTGAAAAGCTGCTGCAAGGGCACTTGGCATGCAGGCACAGACATCCAGCTCGTGCCTTAGACTAGGCTACATCTCAGGGCTGCTTATTCACTCTCTTAGCACTCACCTACACAGCGCCTCCCCTATGTGCTTATTGCATCCTTGCCTTGCTGTGAAATGCCTGTTAAGGATCTCAGCTTTATTTTCCCAAAAACTCATTTTTGAAGAATACGATTGATCCAAAGGGAAAGCAAGTTAAGCAGGAACTAAAACTTTTTAAAATTGGTGAATATATTTACTCTAGATCTACCCCTCAGAATTTGGAAAGCAAAAGATGAAAGAAGAGGAATTATGTGGACCCGCAGAATTGCTGGACCACCATTTACCTGAAGATGCAGAAGAAGACACTGATGAACAAAGGTAATCATTGTTTGTGGAGTTTTCAGTCCTCCTTAGAGAAGCTCCTTAGTCTTTACTAGTCTTTCGGTTCTCTCTCCTAATTGTTATACTCCTGTTAGCCAGTTGGTGAAGCATCCTGAGCTAGTCTTGACTTGGGATGGGATTTTTTCCACAGAATTAAACGTTATATATTGCTTGACTTCACTTGACTCTTGCATCATTAGTTGTCTCCTTAAGTATAGATCCAATCCAAGCCCTTCCCCCATATGTTCTTAACTTTAATAAAGCTGAAATGATATAGGAGGACTGTCATGATGCAGTGGTAGTGCCCCTATCTCTGAGCCAAAAGGCCCGTGTTCACCTCCTATCTGCTCCAGAGGTGTGTAATAGTATGTTTAGAAATTATCTGAAAAGACACACAGGGGCTTTTATGGCACAGTGGTTGTGTCCTGACCTCTGAACCATGAGACTGAGGTTCATGTGCCACTGTTGTAATAGCATCTCTGAACAGGTTGATTACTAATATCTGAACAGGGATACATGTTGCCCAAGGCTCTTTGTCTTGGACTCATCAGAGGAAATTCAAGGATATCAAATATCAAATGATCACAACAATTTATGTTACAAGAGAATAGGGTGGTGAACAGTTGCCAAGTTGACTGTTGATTGTCCATGGCGTTTTCATGGAGAAAGCAAGCTCCCCAAAGTCCCAAGGAATTCACAAAGGGTGCAAGGCTGGAACATCAACTTGCCACTGAATCAGCACGCTTTTTCCATTGTTTGAAATGTGGTGTTCTTGCATTTGTCCTAATGAGTACAAGATGTAAAGCTTCAGCAACATCTCTCTTTTTAGCAATAACCAATTTCTGTACGCCCAAACCAAGTATACTTCAACTGATACAATTAACACCAAAGTCTTTGTATGTGGCTGTTTGACAAATTTTATTTGAAAATACTTAATAGGATGGTTTACCACAATATACACATGCAGGTTGTAAAAAATATTCATATTAAAGGACTACCCAATGCTGGATGGTTGATTTTACCAGTTGTGGTATCAAGATTGCCAATTCCCCCATATGTGTAATTTCCTCTTCGCAAGTGAAAAAACAGCTGGAATGATAAACTACACCAAGCTAGATCCAAAAGATCTTTGTCCAAAATCCAAATTGCACTTCAAATGTCCGTCAAGGGGCAGGCCAGCACATAGCAGTTGTTTCTCACCTCATTTGCAGGACATATTCTTTCCTTATGTCCTAAATATTTAATTCTTTGCCTCTTCTACATTACCCAAGAGGCTAAGCAAGCTTTTAGTGAAGTATGGCAACATTCTCTCAAACATTTATTATCCCTCTGGTTCCTCTATCACAGAATGAATGGGAACGCACCTTGGGTTCTAAGACACAAGTCTGCCTTGTCAACCAGTACTAAAATATATAAATAGCTTTTTTTATCGTGAAGAAAGTTTGTCAACTTGGCGTAATTCCAATTGAATAATTTATAGAGTCAGAGTTATACAGCACAGAAAACAGACCCTTTGGTCCAACCAGTCCATGCCAAACATAATCCCAAACTAAACTAGTCCCACCTGCCTGCATTTGGCTCATATTCCTCCAAACATTTCTGATTTACGTACTTATCTAAATGCTTTTTAAACGTTGTAACTGTCCCCACATCCACCACTTCCTGTGGAAGTTCATTCCACACATGAACCACTCTCTATGTAAAACAATTGCCCCTCATTGTCCTTTTTAAAGCTTTCTCCTCTCACCTTAAAAATGTGCCCCCTCGTCTTGAAATCCCCCACCCTAGGGAAAAGACACTTGCCATTCACCTTATCTATTGCCCCTCATGATTTTATAAACCTCCATAAGGTCACCTCTCGCCTTCATTATGCGTGAATAAAAATGTGTTTTTGTAACTGGCATCTGACCATCCAGACTTATTTAAATACAAAGAATTATGATAGCGTGAATGGTTTTATTTTGATGAGATAGATTGGATGCCAATGGCATGATTGGTTAGTCAGAAGGATCACAAAATCTACCAGCTGAGGGGGCCACATTAAGCACGTGGAAGCTTTGGAGAGGGTACAGAAGAGGTTTACTAGGATGCTGCCAGGATTAGAGAGTATGAGCTATAAGGAGGAGCCTGAAAAACTTGGGTTGTTTTCTCTGGAATGGCGGAGGCTGAGGGGCGACTTGATAGAAGTTCATAAAATTATGAAATGCGTAGATGGGGCTGATGCAGTGAGCCCCTTTATCTCACAGTTTTTACAATAGTGCGTGTGGCCTAACTGTCCAATCTTATAGGCTGATTCCTGTTATTTTTATTCATTCATGGGATGAGGGCACCACTGGTTAGACAGCATTTATTGCCCATTCCTACTTGCCCAGGGGGCAGTTAAGAGTCAATCACATTGCTGTGGGTCTGGAGGCTGTGTAGGCAAGACCAGGTGAGGATGGCAGTTTCCTTCCCTAAAGGACATTAGTGAACCAGATGGGTTTTTCCGACAATGGCCATCATTAGATTCTTAATTCCAGACATTTATTGAATTCAAATTCCACCATCTGCCATGGCGGGATTCAAACCCAGGTCTCCGGAACGTTATCTGGGTCTCTGGATTAACAGTCCAGTCCCTCCCCCTCCCCTCCTAAGTGAAACCTAATACAGAAAATTGCGTTTTACTTAAAACTTCTGTTGATTATAGAGATTTTCCCATTTCTTTTTCTTTGCATCATACTCCCATCCCCCTACCCGTCCCAGTTTTACTGGCATCCCCCTCATCCCTGTGACACTCCCAAAGGCATACCCCCTCCTCGTGTCACTCCCAAAGGGATCACCCCACTTCCTGTGTCACTCCCACTCTTCCAGGAATCCATCCCCATACCCAGTCCACTTGCACAAGCATCTTCCCTCACCAACTCTCTAAGGCATTGCAGCCATCTCCCACGCTCTCACAGGACTGAGACCATAGCGCCAAAATGAGGTCTCAGCGAGAACAGATTTTGGAAGTACTGTCACAGAAGGACTAGGGCAGCGGATATTTGGGAATGCCATCACTAACAATTTCTCTTATAAGTTATTCACACCCCGATTTGGAAATATATTGCAATTCAGTGTCACTGGGTCAAAATCCTAGAACTCCATCCTTAACAATACTGCAGCTCTCTCCATACCACATGGATTGCAGCGGTTCAAGAAGGCAGCTCACCACCATTATCTCAACGGCAATTGGGGATGGGCAAGTAATACAGGCCCAGCCAGTGACACTATTTCTCATGAATGAGTAAAGCAAGAGGCTGACCAAATCTTTGTTTAGTTTGTAGTGTTGCTGGATTGAATAAGGAGAAAATGACTAAAACTTAAAACAGGTAGACAAACAGAATTGATAGTGAGGACAGACAGTCCTTTAGTCAGAGCTAAAATACAAACATACTGGATCCTAGATTTCCTAAGGAAGAGCAATGATCCAAATACAAATAATAAATAGTAAAATTTCAATAAGTCAAACCTTAGAACGTATGTCCACAAATTTGTGTTAAGAGGAGCTTTGATAGCTGAGGAGTTCTACATGCAATCCAGTTTTGCCTGCAAACATGCTCTATGTGAAAAGGATACAAAAGTAGTAACATGGTAAATAAGTGAAGAATGTCTTTATTTCTCAATTTGTTCACACCTTACACTAGTGTGACTTTGTACAATAAAACAAAATCTTGAAAAGAATGAAAATAATATTAGCTCTATAAAAAACTTGTTTCTGTCTTTCTGCTTGGCCTGCTGTCTCCAGACGAGTGGGATATAGTTGGCCACGCCATCAGTGCAGTCAAATACATTTTCCATGGCTTCCTGCTGCAAATTCCCAGAGCATCTCTATGGCCTTTGCAGCTTCAGCTAGGGAAACAGGTTGGAGAGCCAGTGGGCTCTTCAGAATCACCAGCTTCATCAGCTATCCTTGCAGAGAGACTTCAACATCCAATCATAGGTTGCCCATGATTTTACAATGTAGCAAGGCCTAACCCTGCTCCACTTGAGTGGTGTGGTCACACAGTAGGTTTGCGCGGGTTACATGCACAGTTACTAGTCCGGAAATTCAACTTATCAAAGACATTCATCCCTTGCATTCCTTATCCTGCCAAAGAAAGTGACATACAACTTCAACTTAACTGGACTTTGGTGTTATCTGAATTTGACTCATCGCGATTTCACTGCATAACCTGTAGCAGTTATTAGTTCGGCTGGAATATTATGACTTGTTTTAGATCTTTCTCTTTTGGAAAGATGTAAGGAATGTGGACATGGTACAGAAAAACTATTAAGGGGATGGTAAGTTTTAATTATGAATTGGTGAAACTGGAATCCAGTGGAACAAAAAGAGGAGCTGAGGAGAAATCTGCTAGTGTCAAAATGATCAATGGTTTTGATAAAGTGAATGAGAAACTAATCCTTTGTGTCACTAACTGGAAACATAATTTTTAAGACTGTCACCAAAGGTAAAGTAGAAGAGAGAAGATTTTTTTAAAGTACAGAGTGTTATTAAGGCTACTAAACTCCCTATCAAAAACATAGGTGGAAGGAGCATCCATAATGGCTTTTCAAATGAAAGGGGATAAACAGTTCCTTAGAATTGAAAAGAACATGTAAGGGGCTAAGTGGACAGCTCTTTCAAAAAGCTAAGTACTCTCCTGCTGTTTAAAATTACCAACATTCATGAATTGCTCTTGATATTTTTACTAGTATTTAAAAAATGTAGAAGATAACTTTTAAAATGTTGGCTTTGCAATTGATAATACTGAGAGAATCAAAAGCTGCTTTGTGGTGATACAAGTTTGGGCCGTTTGAGTACACGTCTTACAGAAATTGTTTTGGGTTCTTTTTAACTGATTATGTGTTTATTTATAGAATTATCAGGGAAAAAGTACGAGAGTACCAGTTCAAACGGCTGAAATATTACTATGCAGTGGTGGACTGTGATTCTTCTGAAACAGCAAATAAGCTTTATGAAGAATGTGATGGAATGGAATTTGAGAGTAGCTGTTCTTTTCTGGATCTCAGGTGAACAAAGATACTGAACTCTATTCCTTTCTCCTGCAAACAGCAAAATATAATTGTACAAGTAGTTCTGTGAAGGACAAGTCAGCAGCTTCCAGTTAGCCTTGTTGTGAGGCATCAGGCCTAAACAAGGGGAACTATTTAGCAGTAACCAGCAGCTCGAAGAATCACTGGGAATTTACATTGCATTACAAATCCATGCTCCTCCACTATGGAGCGTGCGCTGATTTTCCCAGGTGGCGGTCTGGTCAAGTTGAGCTGAAGTCGAATTGGATCTAAAATTAGACATAACTTAGAATTTCCTTGGCAGCACATCACTTGCTCCCTTCAAGGTGGAGCAAGTGCTGATTCTCAGAGTAATCTACCATTTGTATAATAATTACAGGCTATTCACCTCTGCCTCAATCCCTATCCATTCCACCTGTTGATAACTTTTGTGTGAAGGTCTTGGTGAGATTGGTTCTACATTTGCTTTACTGTTCACTGGTCACGGTGTGATCTGACTATGACACTATATTGTTTGAGCATGATTTCCTTTGACAATATTCTACTGTTGGATTATAATAATTCAGCATTCTATTGAATTGTGGAGTTTTAAGTCTATGGGCACACAGTCTGTTCTGCATTTGACTGTCATTAATGTAGTGTTTGTACATTTTCTGCTTTTGCCTGTGTTCTGCCTTTGTGAACTGAAGGTTTAGTGCTGGATATACAATGCATAAGGAACAGTTGCCCTTCATTGGGTTTCCTAGTGGTCATTCTTCTGTGTTATGCATGAGCAGTGTGTTGGTGGGCCACTTGATAGAACATCTTTTACTTGTGGATATGCATCTAATTTTCAATAATGAATGAGCACAAGTATGTGTGAAGTACACGAAACTGACGACAGTTTCTCCTCTCACTCCATTTCAGTTGTTCCATGTCAGTTAATTAAATCTCCATTTGGAAAGATGTTGATGCAATTTTTTAACAGATGTTCATGCACTAACTTGTAATACTGTTACTGAAATAATGGTAGAAATGCTAGTAGAAGTTGAATTGTCTGCTGCACTTCTCTTTTACATTAATTTACATTAAGTGAATTAATTTAATTGTAGTAGTCTTTGAATACAGCCTTTCATTTCTTGGTAGCGAAATAAAGTATTCTAATTGTATTACTGCAGTGATGCGTCAGAGAGGAGTGGAAGATTTATGTGTCTGAAAGAGATTTGTTTGGGTTTGTATTATTACCCAGGTTTATCCCAGACGAACTAACATTTGAAGATGAGCCAAAGGATGTTTCTACAGATGTGGATTTGGCAGCATACAAACCAAAATATTTCACATCAACAGCACTCAGCACATCAAAGGTAATTAAAAGCATTTGCGTGTAATCTTATAAACAACATGGGTCATGTGTTTATATACACTGTATCATCCATTTCATAAACCGTGAACTTGGAATTTATATAGAAAATCAAATTAGGTCAGTCTGAAGCAGTAAATAAAGTCTCTATGGCAACAGTTAATACTTGATATAATTTTTTGCTTTCCACGTTCCTACATGCATCAATTTTGAAGATGTTTTTGAAGAAAACATCTTGGACACAGAAAACTGCATAACATAGACCAGATGAAGAAATGGAGTGTGCAACTAGGCAGATTTCATGCAACTTTATCAGTTTGACATGCCAAAACAAAATTGTTTTCCTTTAAGAAACAGTGTTGGTAGTGAAATGTCTGAGAGATTTAACTTGTGTCTCAGTCTTTAAATAATAATTTCCGGTAAGAACTAAAGGGTTAGCAGTATTATAAAAGGCTTTATTTTTATGTTACTTATAAATCTCCTAGCTATTCAAACTTAGATTTATTGATACATAAATAGGTGTCACAGGCTAATTGGTATATGATCACTATCAGAGGATGGAATATCTTCATTCTGGGTACCTTAGATTGCTGTGTTTAAACCCTACTTATTAATGTTGATGTCCAGTATCTAGAAATATAGTTACAACATGGAAACAGTAATTTAGTTCATACACTATGTCTAGGTATTTGCCCTCCATGTTAGCCAATCATTCTTAATTGTACTTGTCCACCCTATTTCCACATTCCCTCAACATTTTCCCTCCAGTCGTGTATTAAATCTAATCTTGAACGTAGAAATTGTTCCCGTGTCAACTCACACCTGTAGAACTGAATTCTACGCTCTCACAACCTTCTTTATAAAGACCCGAAGCTCTATGTGCCTTGTATCTAGTCTCATAGTATTCACAGCTCCTTGTTGTTCGCCCCTCAAACTACTGGAGACAATTATTCTATCCAACATTTCCAAGTGCTTTCACTTTTAAAAGTTTCCACTATATTTGTGTTGCTGTAATAAAAAAAATCCAATTTTTGAAGTATTTCTTTGTATTCGTATTCCCTTGTACCTGGCTTTATCCCTACTAATCTGCATTGAATCTCCCTGTTAAATCAGGGACAACAGCTCACCAAAATTAATGTATGAAAAACTACAGAAGTGAAGAAAATATTGACATTAAATTCCCCAGAACCTATCTGAGAGTTTTAAAGGAACATTGTAGATGCACTAACCATAGTCTTTCAAAATTCTCTCAATTTGGGCACCATTCCTTTAGATTAGAAAAATGTGTAGTCACTTCATGTCTTGAGTTGAGAGAGAAAAACACTGGAGAAATATAGACCAGCTAACCTAACCTCTGTTGTTGCAGAATTACTACAGACTATAGTTAAGGGCCAAGGGATTAAGCACCTTGTTAGTTTTTAGTTGATCAGAGAGAGGCAGAATGGATGTCTGAAGGGTAGATTATGCCAACAAACCTGAAGGAATATTTTGAAGAAGAGGCAAGAGTTGGAGAGAGAGTAAATTAATGGATAAATGGGAGGCTGGTATAGTCACAAGATTTAAAAGGCATCTGGTTGGGTATATGAGTGGGAAGGGTTTAGTGGGATATGGACCAAATGCTGGCAAATAGGACTGGATTAATTTAGAATATCTGGTCGGCGTGGATCAGTTGGATCAAAGGCTCTGTTTCCGTGCTGTACCTCTCTGTGACTCTATGACTGTAAGTCAATGTGTATGAATGTTGTTTTTATGCACTTTCAGAAGATACTGGATAAAAGTCCTCATAAGAGACTAGAAGTTGACACTCATTAAATTGAAGGCAAATTATTGACCTTGTTAGAAAATGGGTTAAACGATAATCAGCAGAAAGTGGGCATAACAGCAACACTCAAATACTCTACTTGTCACATCCTGCTAATAATGTCTTACCGTGTTGGGGCCTCAACCAATCATCATGTTCATTAACAACTTAAATGATGGGATGCAAAGCCACATTTGCCAATGGCACAGAAATGGGCAGTGTTATAAGCACTGCAGATGGAAGCACAAAATCATTAAGAACTATTAATGGATTAATAGGTGGGTGAAACTCTGCTGATTGGATTTCAATGCAGCCAAATGGGAGGTCATCCACTATAGATCGAAAAAGGATGGGAAAAAAAATCCCAAATGGTGAAAGGTTAGAAATAGCAGTAGTTAAAAGACATTTATGGTCTACGTATATAGATTGTTAAAGTGGCATGAATTGGAGCAGAAAGTAATCAAAAGGCTAATGGAATGTCGGCCTTTATATATCTAGGAGACTGCAGTGCAATACAAAAGTAAGCATTATTTGCATTGAACTCTGAATCCAAGTCATAAATTGCAATTAGAAACAGCAGTGATCTCCATATCAATCTTTCCATTCAATTTTCAAATGTTATCTTGCCAATGACGTCCAGGTAGTCCAGGCAAAATCAGTAATACATTATCACAATCTTTAGAAGTCTGCTGTTTGACAAGAGTAGACCCTGTCCTGAATCTGGAATCACCTTGTTTCTGGTAGGCAGAACTGACATGGGATGAGACTGACCATGAGCGGGTCACTACCTTGACAAAACGGTTTAATAAGGACGAGATTGAGGAAATGGATTTCAAAGCATACCTGGCATCTTCAAGTGAGGAAGAAGATGAAGCAGACATGGAGGAGGAAAAAGAGCCTGAGCAAGGTAAAGAAAAATTTGGTTTGGATGGAGGAGGTCAGCATCTACTGAAAGCTGGTGCTTCTGGGACTTGCTTGTGCCTACCTTTGGACCTTAGAAAATGTACTGAGCTATGTTTCTCTTAGCCTCACTTGGAATCACAGAATCCCTACAGTGTGGAAGCAGACCATTCGGCCCATCAAGTCCACACTGACCACACCATCCCTGTAACCCTGCATTTCACATGGCTAAGGCACCTAACCTGCATTTCTGTAGACATTATGGGCAATTTAGCATGGCCAATCCACCTAACCTGCACATCTTTGGACTGTGGGAGGAAACCGGAGCCCTGGAGGAAACCCACGCAGACACGGGGTGAAAATGCAAACTCCACACAGACAGTCATCCGAGGCTGGAATCAAACTTGGTCCTTAGTGCTGTGAGGTAGCAGTGCTAACCACTGAGCCACCGTGCTGCTCATAGGACATACTGTCCAGTAGTTCTGAGATATGTTGGAATGTGCACAATGGACAGTGTTAATTTAATACAAGGCCAGTAAGATTTGGTCATCATTGGTAATAGTCACCACGCATGTACAACTGATGGGGCAAGTTACTATAGTTGTAACTCAATGTGAAAACATGAACTGAGACTTATAGCTTTCTTTCACCTTTGTCCTTGACTTCTTCAGTGCCTATCATGGGGTTTTTGTCCCTTTTTACTCCTTTGTGCCGTGCTTGATATTTGATGGCATTAAATTTAATTTGGCACGTTCTTGGCTGACGTTACTGAATCCATTGCTTCTATCAGTTTAAGCAGCATTTTCCAAATTCAAAATATTTGCATGGAGTTTCCGAATCTGAGACACGAATGTGCTTGGGTGTTATCGTTGGGCACTTCCAGTGGCATCATTCCTGGACATTAATAAAATTTACTTCATGTTTCTTTTTTGACTCATATTGTTCATATTCGTGTACTGACACAGAGAATTTATGTGCGCTCTTTTGTTTTGCTTACTTTTAGATTGTGACATTAAAAGTGTGGAAGAAAGTAAAGTGACAACTAAGACAAAGAAGGATACTGAAGAACAGATTTTAAAATACAGAGAGCTATTGAAATCAATCCAAGGAAAGGAAGAAAAAAATAAAGACATGGAGATGGAGATAACCTGGGTTCCAGGTAAACCTTTTGTAGCCTGTGGCCTGAATGAATCATGGAGAACAAAATGTTGCGTTCATTTCTGGTCTCCCTGCTGTAGGAAGGATGTTGTGAAAATTGAAAGGGTTCAGAAAAGATTTACAAGGATGTTGCCTGGGTTGGAAGGTTTGAGCTATTGGAAGAGGCTGAATATGCTGGGGCTATTTTCCCTGGAGTGTTGGAGGCTGAGGGGTGACCTTATTGAGGTTTATAAAATCACGAGGGGCATGGATAGGGTGAATAGTCAAGGTGTTTTTCCTGAGGTGGGGGAGTTCAAAACTAGAGGGCATAAGAAAGAAAATGACTGACACAATGGTTAGAAAGAAGCCCTAGAAAGTAAAAACTGAGAAGAAAAATAATGAAAATTCACTATTCCAGAATGGGAAATAGACAGATGGGAATATGGAACCATAGGGCTGCAGACCTCCAGTTAGTGTCTCCTGTCTAGAAAATACAGATTGGATTGACAGACTTTTGGGGTGTTTTCAGCTCGAAGCAAGCATCTTTTCTGGTCTTTTCCAATTTCATTATTTGGATCTAATCTTGAAATTGGGTCTCTTGGAAATTTTCTGCATTCCAGCAATTTTTCTCCTCTTCCAATGTTGTTGCATGTGTGTTAATCACCTTTCATAACCTTGACCGAACAGCTTGAATTACAAGTATTGTCATGGTCTTCAGCTTTGAGGGAAGGGTCTCACAGCACGTTCTATCCTGTTCTTCTTCAACACGTATACATGTTCTCTTCATGCAAGCATCATGGAACAGCAAGCAGGAACCCTGTCTTTTCCTGGCTGAAGGAGATCATGCTTCGTACCTGGGACCTGCATTCCTTTTTGCTCCCATTGTTAACCAGGAGACTCATTGAAATGCTATACTCCTATCTTAGGAAACACTAGTTATGTGCAATCCCTCTTTGTCCTGACTGGAGCCCCAGAGTAATAGTGTCCTGGATTCACATGATAGCCAAATCTAAAATGCATGGAACTTCCAACCAGGATGACTAACTGCTTGCCAGGCATGATTTTGGGTTGGACCTCAAAAGTCACTACTCAACCCGTAGCTGTGAAACATAGAACTTAAGTGTTCTGTGCAAAAAAAAAAAACAAAGAATGGCACGGTGGCTAAGTGGTTAGCTCTGCTACCTCACAGCGCCAGGGACCTGGGTTCAATTCCAACCTCGGGTAACTGTGTGGAGTTTGCACATTCTCCCTGTGTCTGTGTGGGTTTCCTCTGGGTGCTCCGGTTTCCTCCCACTGTCCAAAGATGTGTAGGTTAGGGTGGATTGGCCATGCTAAATTTCCCATAGTGTCCAGGGATGTGTTGGTTGGGTGGACTAGCCAAGAGAAATGTGAGGGGATAGAACATAGAACATTACAGCGCAGTACAGGCCCTTCGGCCCTCGATGTTGCACCGACCTGTGAAACCAATCTGAAGCCCATCTAACCTAAACTATTCCATTATCATCCATATGTTTATCCAATGACCATTTAAATGCCCTTAAAGTGGGCGAGTCTACTATTTTTGCAGGCAGGGCATTCCACGCCCTTACTACTCTCTGAGTAAAGAACCTACCTCTGACATCAGTCCTATATCTATCACCCCTCAATTTAAAGCTATGTCCCCTCGTGCTAGCCATCACCATCCGAGGAAAAAGGCTCCCACTGTCCACCCTATCTAATCCTCTGATCATCTTGTATGTCTCTATCAAGTCACCTCTTAACCTTCTTCTCTCTAACGAAAACAGCCTCAAGACCCTCAGCCTTTCCTCATAAGACCTTCCCTCCATACCAGGCAACATCCTGGTAAATCTCCTCTGCACCCTTTCCAATGCTTCCACATCCTTCCTATAATGCGGTGACCAGAACTGTACGCAATACTCCAAGTGCGGCCGCACCAGAGTTTTGTACAGCTGCAACATGACCTCATGGCTCCGAAACTCAATCCCTCTACCAATAAAACCTAACATACTGTACGCCTTCTTAACAATGCTATCAACCTGGGTGGCAACTTTCAGTGATCTATGCACATGGACACCGAGATCTTTCTGCTCATCCACACTACCAAGAATCTTACCATTAGCCCAGTACTCTGTATTCCTGTTATTACTTCCAAAGTGAATCACCTCACACTTTTCCGCATTAAACTCCATTTGCCACCTCTCAGCCCAGCTCTGCAGCTTATCTATGTCCCTCTGTAACCTGCAACATCCTTCCGCACTATCCACAACTCCACCAACTTTGGTGTCATCCACAAATTTACTAACCCATCCTTCTACGCCCTCATCCAGGTCATTTATAAAAATGACAAACAGCAGTGGCCCCAAAACAGATCCTTGAGGTACACCACTAGTAACTGATGGGGGTGGGTATGGACAGGATACTCTTTAGAGGGACTGAATGGCCTGCTTCCACACTGTAGGGATTCTATGAACTGTGGATGCTGGACCTGAAACATTACCTCTGCCCTATCTCCCCAGATGCTGCCAAACCTGTTGAGTTTTTCCAGCAATTTCTGTTTTTGTTCACGTGTTCTCTATCCTGACTGTCACGTTTGTTGGATGCACTGATTTTCCTTGTCGCGGAAGATGAGATGAATTCTATGTTTGAAACTTTTCCAGTAGTTTCTGTGGATTTATTAAAAAAAACTCCTCCTGCAGCCAGCAGGTGTCACCACGACTACAAATCTTAACTATTTGAATGCAAATGAATTAAACGTGACTTTTTTTTTCTGCAGCCTTATGTGGAGGTATGCAGACATTCCAGTTCTACAACAAAAAGACTGAGCAAAAAAAAGCTTCACTGCACCTGTTTGTACACACACAATGTAAAACTTCAACTCAGCACCACATCTCCATACACAAGATTTTAATTGTGTATTTCTGCTTCCTGCCCTGCAGACATATTTTTACTTCTAGGCGTTGTTTGCTGTAGTATGGGGAAACTTGTACAGGGGAGGCTAAACTATCTGTGTGAAGTTTATTTAACTGGACAAGTGCATTCTCAAAAAGGCAGAAAATTTGAAGATTCTCTCCTCTGCTCTTCTTGAAGTAATTCAGTACTCCAGTTGTAGTTCAATAACTGCCTTTAATTCAAGGCAGCTTTCACGAGAATCTAATTAGAGATCTGAGGTCTTGATCATAAGCCATATATTTCACCCATGTGCTTTCCTCAAGAAAATAATAACTGCCTCAACCCCCAGAGATAAAGTGGATAACATTGACCAAATAAATAATATCTCTGGCAGAACCATTGTTTAAATGTTGTAACACATTTAAAAGCATCTCTCTTAGTTTTGGTTCAGTCTATGTTAGTCTGTGGTTTTAGCACATGTTGTATCTAATACATTTATTTCTCAAACCCAAAAGTTAATAGTTGGCACACTTTTAAATGTTGGCTGTCCTTTCTAAATAATCTGAGAAGGATGAAGAATAAGCAATGCCGTGCATATTTTTAAAAAGTACATAATGAATTTTATCACTTTTTTTGAACAATGATTTACCCAGCAGGGGGGAACCAACTAATGATACTTGGAACCGAAATGTACAGGGTCATAAAGGATTGTATCTTTCTGATATTTGTAATGAAACTATTTCAGTAGTTCATGTATAGTGTAACATAGTTCTTATTTTTCTTATGTGTCATAAACATTTATGGTCTTTTGTTAGAAGTATGTTGGCAGCCTCTTATGAAGACATTCAATGACTGACCTCCAAAGTGTAAACAAAAGTAAAAGATAAACTAATGATCTATCAAGCCAGATTTCACTATGGGAACTGACTTGTCCAGTATTGATGTTAGCTGTGATCATCAACTGCCCTGCCATCCAATCAGATGTATATCTACTTTTACTGTTGACTACTTAAATCCAGTTCATGCTGTAGTTTTCTGCTGTGAATAATTCCAAAGACGTATTTATGAAGAGAATGTTTAACCTCGCTTTCAATAGATGATATAAAAGCAATATCATGCTTGAGTGCTTGGCAGTGCACTCACTCCCACACTGCTGCTAATGTTGCTCAGTGACCATCAGACATGATGTGTACAAGTGCAGCTGTGCAGTGATTGTTGTAGCTTTGTGCCTCCCCAATCAAATGAAAGCAGCTCTCAACCACTCTGGGCTCTCCAATTGTAAGTAACCCACTGCCCTGAGATATTAGCCCACTTGTTTACTGTAATTCACTGACACTTTTGGCGTATTAATCTCACTTTGAATTTTTATTTCCTTATTCATTAACGGGATGGGGACGTTGCTGGCTAGGCAGCATTTATTGTCCATCCCTAATTGCCCAGAGAGCATTTCAAAGTCAACCACATTGCTGTGGGTCTGGAGTCACATGTTGGTCAGACTAGGTAAGGATGGCAGTTTCCTTCCCTAAAGGACATTAGTGAATCAGGTGGGTTTTTCCGACAATGGATTCATGGTAATCATTAGATCCTTAATTCCAGATATTTTATTGAATTCAAATTCTGCCACCTACTGTGGCTGGATTCAAACTCAGGTCCCCCAAACGTTATCCGGGTCTTTGGATTAACAGTCCAGTGATAATACCACTAGGCCATTAATTGTTGTTATTCAAAACAGACCTGTTTTGAATAGCTTGATTCAGCTTTGTCTCTGAAGCAATAACTTGTTGGCGCCAGATATCCCGTTCTAACGGCCAATCTTCCTGTTTGAGGCTGCAAGGTATTAGCTTCAGGGGAGAGTATTGCAGTTGAGATCACTTCTGTATTCTTCCACAATCCTTTTTTCTCTCGGTGGATCCAGGTGGATCTGAGGAGGGAACTCTAGCTGATGTTCATCCTGTCCACAGCAGCATATAGTTTTGGCTACCTGTAATGAAGCAGGAGCAAATTACTGCAGATGCTGGAGTCTGTACTGAAAACAAAAACTGCTGAAATCACAGTAGTTCAGGCAGCATCCATGGAGAGAGAGCAAGCTAACGTTACAAGTCCATATGACTGTTCATCAGACGTGAAGTATGG